CACAAGACCAGGAGCATCAGAAACTGCGTCCTGTCTCTGGTCGCCTCCTTTAGTCCGGCCTTTCCCCTAGGGCGCATCCTGCCTTTCCCCAGCTTCCCCCCAAAGGCCCCTGCTGCCTGGTTCAATAGTCCCTCTTCTTGCCCCCCTCTCCATCCTCACAAGCTGTCGCAGGCTTCCCAAGGTGCTGATGTCGGGAGGCAGGGCTCCCAGTTTGTTGTTGCTGACAATGAGCACCCGCAGGGGCAGCTGGCAGATGTAGGGTGGCAGCGATGACAGCTGGTTTCGGCTGTGGAAGAGAGAAAGGCAGTGGGCTCACTCCCCAGGCACGGTGTCCCACATGGCCCTCCTCTAAAGGTCATGCCACACCCTCCCCTGGCCCTGCCTCTCTACCTGAGATTGAGGTAGGTGAGGGCTGTGAGATTTCCCAAAGCTGGATTCAGGCATCTCAGGCAATTGTGGTAGAGACTCAGGCCCTCCAGGGATACTAGCTGGCATGCTGCCTCAGGCACCTCGGGGAACCGGTTCCGGGACAGATCTAGGGGAAGCAAGTGGAGAGCTGTGGAATTACCCAGCCCTGGACAGGAGGACCTTGAATTTCTAGAGAGCCATCTGCCGAGCCCTCTACCATCCTAGCAGACCTGAAGAATCAGGACTATAAACCTGGGCTCCCTGGAGAGAGAACAAAGCCTATTGCAAACTGGAACACATTCCAAGCATAACCAGAATGGCAAAGGGGAGGCAAAGGCCTTAGGGCCACTGGGCTGGAGAAGCCCAGATTTGGGAGTGGGAAGGAGCCATAAACTCTGTCTTCAAACACACAAATGGCGGACTATCCTGGAAGGGTGGCTGGATTCTATACCTCTTGTGCTTCCTGTTGCTCTGTGATACCAGGAGAGATGGAAGGCAAAGGTTGTAGGAGGGACGGTGCTCCAAGGAAAATAGCAAGTGATGGGCTGGCTGGAAGGCTCAAGGCAAGAATATGGACAACCTCTGGGGAGACCACTGAGAAAGCCCATCCCTCCTCAGGCGGCTATCTCCCAACCTCAACCTGTTTTTAACCCAGGGGAAAAACCAAGGGTCATTAAAGTGTGGCTCTAGAGTTGAGGCTCCTGACAATGGACAACGGTTTTTCACCAACCCCTAGTATCCGCAAGCCAGGTCTAAGATCCTATGAAGTAACAGACCAGGAAGAAAAGGCAAGTCAACCAAGCCGGAGGTGGGAGCTAGAGTCCTCTGGTCCCCACCATCTGGGCACACCTTCTTCAGGGCTGGCTCCTTCCCACCCTCCTCTTCCAGCCCTCCTCTACTTCCTCTCTTACTGCCCCAGACTTCAGGCAATCAGGACCACGGCCTGTGTCTCAGGCACAGAGAAGAGTGGAGAGGGTAGGAAGGAGGGTACTGTCTATTCCTGCCCCCTACTCTCCGGCGGTGGCTTGCTAGTCCAGTACAAGGAGTCAGACAATTGGGGTTCCCATCAGTCTGGAGGCACTCAGGCTTAGACCTCTACAAGGCTGTGTTTCTGCTTCCTCTGCTCAGCCTGTATTGGGAGGGGCCGAGAGCCTGCTGGGGGAAGTCCTGAGCAGTAGTACTTGTGTGAGCTTCTTAGATGGCCCTTCTCAGGGAGGAGCCAGCAAAAGCTAAGGGGAGGAGAAGCTGGGGTATATCCCCCAAGGAAATGAGTCTTGTGACAGGAAATGTAATAGAAACAATCTATCAGGTTCTGTCTCTGGTGGGACCTGTGTTTGCCAGGGCAGATGATAGCCTGATGCCCCCAAAATCGTTCTCTCTCCCTCTCTGCTCCCAACCCTGGTGGTGCATACAGACAGGTGACCTGTCAAGGGAGAAGACAGTTCCAGAGAGGACGGGAGGACCAGATGCACTCCTACTCTCACCTTCCACCTGCCTACTTTCTCTATATCCACCAAATGTGTGTGCATGCACACACACATGGATGAAAGGGGAGGAGAACAAGTTTCGATGGGGTAAGTGGGTGTCAAGAGCAAAAGCATGGAGCGGAAGGGGGAGCGCAGAAGGGAGCCCAGGCAGGAGGCAGGGCACAGGAGGCACAGGATGTGGTCTGTGAGAAAATGAGCTGCACTTCTCCTTTGTGAGAGTGGCCCCTCCCCCATCTCAGGAGTCATCCTACTATCAGGCCCCAGGAACAGTCCACAGGATATCAGGGACCTGTGCCACAGGAAGCATGCACCAAAAACACAGTCCAGAAAGAGCTGGGAAAGCAGGAGAAGGTTCAAAATGATTCCGGCAGCAGAGCACTGAAACTTTTAGTCTGGGTTGGAGGGCAAGGGGGTGTGCAGGGCAGGGTATGGGCAACACTGACTGTGTTTCTGTCACTTCCTCATTCCACCCCACACTATAAGCACCCTGCTTCTGGAAAGAGGACAGAGGAGAGAGTTCTGGACAAGATAGATCCCACTGGGCTTAGAATCTGGGCCCCGAAAGGAATGAAGATTCTTATGTGGAGAGCAGGGCAGAGAGGGGTTCTCAGAAAGCTGGGATTTTCCCACTTCACCACACAAGCTCACTCACAGGAGAACTGGCTGCACCCTGGGCCGGAATGCTGGGGGAGGAGGATAAAAGGGGGGAGAGCTGGGAGGAGCAGGGAGTTCTTGGTAGTTTTCCCCAGGAGTCCACTCACAGAGACAGAGCCTTAAGGAAGTAAAGAATAACATTTGGTCTTTGTCAAAAAACAAGCAAGGGGGAGGGGAAAGGGAACAGACGGCAAGTGTCACACAGCTGCTGAGGTCAATCTGGAGCTTGGGGGTTAAGTAGCTGGAGTAGACAGAGGATGGCTCCTGGGGCTCACCCATTCCCTGAACTCACTCACTGCATAATAAGCAAGTTAGTTTACCCAGCAACCCAAGAAAAATGGAGAGGTTTAAACTGGTTCTCCCTGGAACAGTGGGGGAAAAGAGAGTGTCTGTGCCCCCTTGAGTGTTTGCAGGGCAGCAGGCACCTGCTAAGGAAGAAATGCAGTCCCAGGGCGGTGTCAATAGGACACTCTCATTCAGCCCCAAGTCCTACCCTGAGCCAGGCTCGGGTGGGGCTCCGGGAATGTAGTCCTCCTCCCCATTTCCAATCCTCACCACCCCCCAGCTGCCAGCCGAAGGTCATAGGTTGCCTTCAGAGCAGCTGAGGCCTGACTCACCTGTTGTAGTAGAGTCCCCCACACCCTACCATCAACAGACACCAGAGTGAAGAGAGCATGATCAGAGGGATCCTGCGGGTGGGAGAGCGGAGGGATAGTCGGTCCCTAGGTTCCCAGCACTACTAGTTAGAAGATAAGATTTCCTTCCTTTCAGCTACTGCCTCAAAGTCCCTCTCCCAAGGGAAAGCAGAAACTGAAATGGGAATTCTGGAGTCCCTATGAGGTCACAGGCTCCACAGTGACCTCACACACGCAGGAAGGAGGAGTTGTTTCAGATAACGGGGGTCAGGAATAACAGGCAGAAGAGCTGAGGAAAAAAGAGTTAGGGGATGTGGGAGATTAGCTTCTTTCCGACAGGCTGGCTGGGTGAAGAGGACCAGCCACTTTAGGGGGTGGGACTACAAGCAAAGTAAGCAGAAACATCAGGTTGTTAGGGACAAATTCTTGGGAAGTGGAAGCCTAAGTCTGCTCGGATCTCGGTGGAACGGCGGAGAGTTGCAGACGAAGTGGACGAACAAAAAGGAGTCATTAGAGGGGCTCGTGGGGGCTGCTTTATGGAATGATCAGAACTGAAGCTGAAGAAATCATGCAAATGAGCCAACCAGGTGAGGGGCGGGACCATTATACAGGTGCGCCAATATGCAAATAAAGAGAAGCGGAGGGTGAGGGCTCTGACAACTTTCAGCCAGGGACGCTGGGCGTGCCGTGCAAACGAGAAACACGTTCATTGTCTAGTAGTTCTTAAAGTGGGGAGGGGGTGGTAGCAGGCTTATGTAAATCAGCGAAGTCGAGAACCCCGACGGCCAGGTGAAGGGGAGGGCCAGACTCCCCGGCCCCAAGAGAAACAAACGTGGGGGCGGGGCTATGTAAATGAGGGTCCCGGCTGGGGTCGCGGCGGGGTGCACTCACCAGCCTGGGTGATGTCTGACAGGTCGTAGCTGCGGGCCGCGCCCCGGGGGAAGTGCTTCAAGCGCCGGTTAGACAGGTTCAGGGTCCCGGTGGCCACGGCCTCCTCGAGGGCCCGCTCTGCACTGCGGCTCCCAGGCAGACCCGGAGACCCCGGAACGGTGGTCGTGGCCGCTGACTCTTCACCCCCGGCGGCAAATGGGGCCGCTACTGCCGCCGCCATCCGCTCCCGGCGGCTCCCGCTGCCTGACTGACGGGACTGGTCGTCCCTTCTTCCCCCGCCCCCTCCTTGGAGCCGCCGTAGTGGCTTGAAGCGGGAGGAAGTGGGCCCAGAGGCCCGGCGGACCAATCGCGGTCCCCAGACGCGTCGGAAGTGGCTAATCAGAACCCGCCAGGGAGGGGCAGACTCCTGCGCTGGAGTGAGGCGAGAGAAGGGAGGGGGACTAGAATGGAGCTCTCGCCAACTGCCGACGCTCCAGCCCGACCCACCCCGCTCATCGCATCCAATCACAATGCTTAGGGCCGAAGATGAAGCGAATCAGGTCCAACCAGGAGGCAGGGACGCCGGCGTTCAACTAGGAGGGATAGAGGCCGAGACCGCAAGCCCGGGACTCCTGGTCCTCTTCCAATGAAGACCAATCGCAAGCCAGACACAGGAGAGTGACTGCTAAGAGGGCCAATTAGATCATCCGGAGGGAACCTGGCCCGACTTCTTCTCTGAGGGACGGTTCTACCTACCAATAGCATGGGCGAGAAGGCAGTTCCTTCGTTAAGGAGGAGGTGTGAGCTAGAACTTTGAGATAAAGAATGTAAGCACGGCACGCGGGGTGGGTTGGGAGCATTACAGGGGCAGAAGTGTATGCCAGCCAGCTGGCTGTGTTAGGAAGCGAGTAAGTTTTGAGTGCGTAAGGTATACTGGGGCCTGGGGGGTCGGGGGTGCGATGGTGCTAGGCGACTCCTGAGGCCAATGCGCAGGGGTCGTTGTAGGCGAAGGGACTGTGGAGGCCCGGCAAGCGGCTTCCCAGATCCTGGAGAGACCCAGCTTAGCTTCTGGAGGGAGGGTTCCGGTAGCCCGGGAAAGCCTTGAGAGCTGCCGCCCGACCTGCCAGCTGACCCAGAGGAGAGCGCCAGAGCAGGAATTGTGATGATAGGACTAGGGATTTAGTCTAGAAGGGACCATCTCATCTAGAAGACCTCCTGTTTACAAATGAGGGAACCGAGGCGGAAGAAAGTGGATGAGTTGGCAGGAGCAAACAGCAAGGTACTGACAGCTTGCAGTAGAACCCAGGCTTCCCACTACATCAGCTTTTACGGTGGACTTTTTCTTTTCTCACCCTCTTTGTCTCCTGGGGTGATATGAAGTGGATAAAGGAGACCCAGATATGAGAGGAAACTGATGATGCTTTTTGTGTCTGCTGAGAGATCTAACATCCTTTTAGATGGCATGAAGACCTATCGTAGTTCACTCAGTATGTTAAAAGTTCCCTAACCACTCATAAGTCACATCTCAGATGCTGACATTCCTAAACACTTATTGAATTATTAAAATTCCATCCTGGGTATCCCTAACCAGGTGTTTACTAGTCACCGTGAATAAGGGAGTTTGGATGGGTGATATAGACAGTCTGTTAGCACAGTAAACAAACAAGTCTGTAATACTGCACAGCTCAGGGCTGGCTGTCCTGGACTGGATTCCTTTGAGCCCCTGAAGAGCCAGCTGCTCCTTAGATTTACTGGTGCAAATCTTCTGCTCCTACCTGTACAGACACAACCCCTGTTTCTCCTCAGAAATGTCACCACCCCCCAACACAAAAATAAGTGAATAGCTTAGACTCTGGGAGATATCCTAAGCTTTCAGAGTAAATCTAGCCCTTTCCACCATAATAGGTTTCCCTTCATACAGTTTCTGCCCCAGGAAAGCAATCTACTTTTGGATGTATTTTCATGAGACTGTAAAGAGTTGGTGCTGAATTGATCCCACTTTCATCTGGTGCATGCTTTTATGAGTCAGATGGTCATTATTAGCAGGGTCACCTTCCCCTTCACTTGTTAAACTGAATTTATACTTTTTTTTTTTTCCTGAGTTTATACTCTTGAGCTACAAATCTCCTGGAGGCCCTGGCCTGCTGAGATATGAAGAATTCGCCAGTGTTTCTCTACAGAGTTAGTACTAAAAGGACCTCAAGTGGAAAAACCTCCTACTACTCCCTAAAAGTAAAGGCCTCATTTACCAGTAGTTCACACTATTTCTCTTGTAAAATGCATCTTCCAGGAGCCATTGGGTGGCTAGAGCTGAGCTAGAACTGAGGAGCTGTCTAAGAAAATTCCAGGCAAGGTTGGGGGGAAAATAGGTCACAGTGGCTAGGCAGTGAGGTCACAGAGAGGTTTGTCTGCCCCAGACTCCATGGGGGAGGGGCCTGGGAGGCAGAGGGTCCTCAGAGGTCCCCCAAGCTCAGGCAGGGGACATGGTGTGGGAAAGGCAGCAGGGACAAGGCCCAGGACGAGTACCAAGGGGCCTGGAGAAATGAGGGCAGGAGCAGGGAGGGGGCAGTCAGGATGGTGAGGAGAAGCCGGAGAAAGCTGCAAAAATTCAGTGGGCTGTGCAGATGGGAAGAGGGGCTCAGGAAGAGGGGTGGGGGCAAGGCAAGGGAAGGGCAGGAAGACAGTAGCTGGGGAAGGGTTACTTGAAGAAGTTGGACCCAGGAACAAGGCAGACAGGGAGAGGCTGATCCATGGACCTAGAGAGAAAGATGGGAGGATTTGACAGCACAGAGCCTGAAAGTCAGAGCTGTGATCCCCCCAGATAGTAATTAATGAAAGATAGGCTGAGAGAAGAAAGAAAAAGAGGCTCGATCCTCATGGAACCCCTACGCTCCTCCTAGGTGAAGCGGAGCTGCCCTTCATATGGCCCAGAGCTTGAGGGTGAAGAAGAGAAGAAGGGGAGAGGGAACCCTATTTCAGTTCAGCTGTTCCCCCCAGAGCTGGTGAGTCCTTGGGGAGGAGATACTAAGAATAAAGGACTGGGGGCCAAACCACTGAGGGGTCCCCAATGATCCCCACTTCCTCCCTCCTGTCCCCCAGGTGGAACATATCATCTCATTCCTCCCAGTCAGAGATGTAGTCGCCCTAGGCCAGACCTGCCACTACTTCCACGAAGTGTGCGATGCCGAGAGCATGTGGAGACGCATCTGTCGCAGGCTCAGTCCTCGCCTACGAGAACAGGGTTCTGGGGTCCGGTCCTGGAAGAGAGCTGCCATTCTTAACTGTACACCTTCCCCAGAACCTCCAGTTCTCTTTGCCTCTGTCCTACCTTATTCTGGGATCCCTCCTGCTCCATAGAGTTGCCCGATGACCTCAGCATTCCCAGCTCTTCCAGACTCAAACATGTCATTGAGTACTTCAAGTCTAGAAGCCACCCTCTGATAGACGTCCTACCCAGAGCCCCCGTTAACTAGCATCCCTTCCATGTCTCCCTCCATATTCAAACTCTCTTCTAAATCTTACCCTAGAGACATGTTCCACTCCCCAGAAATGGAGTTTTCCCTCCTGTAAACCAGGGTTTCTCAACCTTATCACTATTGAGGTTTTAGACCAAATAATTCATTGTAGTGGGGGACTGTTCTGTGCATTATAGGATGTTTAGCAGCATCCCTGGGCTCTACCCACCAGATGCCAGTAGCACTCCCCCCACCCCAATTGTGACAACCAGTGTCCTCTGAGAGAGACAATTTCCCCCAGGTTGAGAAACATGCTCTAAACCCCCTCCCTTCCCAGGGAGCCACTATCCACTTACTTCATCTCACATATCAGAGACTAAGGGAGATCCAGACAGGAGATCCAAAGCTAGGTGTGAGTGAGGGTTACAGATCTTTCTGAGTCATTCCTTTTCACTCCTTTCTGCTTCTTTTTTATGTATTTATTCTTTTATTTCCCTCGATGTCTCTAATGCAAGGTTGGTCCAAAGAAGTGCTAACTTAGATGCACGTTTATGGCTCTGGACTGAGGTGGGCTAGAGAACTAACGTTCAGCCATGGAGTATAACTGAGGATATCCTCTAAGCTTTCTATATGTCCTTTGGAAGGGGTCTGTTCCCTAGTCCTAGAAATGGAGAGGAACTAAATAGCAGAGTATCTGAGAAATCTTGTTTGCCCAAGCTGTGATTTATCTCCCGGTGTAATCCCAACCCCTTGAACCTTCCATATTCTTCCCTTCTCCAGACACGAAAGGCCTGTATTTCCAGGCATTCGGGGGCCGCCGCCGCTGTCTCGGCAAAAGTGTAGCCCCCCTGCTAGCCCATGGCTACCGCCGCTTCTTGCCCACCAAGGACCATGTCTTCATTCTCGACTATTCTGGGACCCTCTTCTTCCTCAAAAATGCCCTGGTCTCCTCCACCCTTGGCCAGATCCAGTGGAAGCGAGCCTGCCGCTATGTTATATTGTGTCGTGGAGCCAAGGATGTGAGTAGCAGAACCCTGGCAGCTGAGAACCCACCGCACCTCCGGGGACCCAGGGCCCACACTAGTCCAAAGGTGTCTTCCTCAGGACAGCTGTCTTCCCTTACAAGGAACCAGAAAAAAGTCATTTTCCTGCTGTGTACCCAATTATCTCATCTCCCACCCCAGCCTCATCCCACTCGAAGCCCTAGGTCCCAGACCACTCTGTCTTTTCCTACAGTTTGCCTCAGATCCAAGATGTGACACGGTTTACCGTAAATACCTCTATGTATTGGCCACTCGGGAGCAGCTGGGAGTGGTAGACACAACCAGCAGCCGGGCCTGTGACTGTGTTGAGGTCTACCTGCAGTCCAGTGGGCAGCGAGTCTTCAAGATGACCTTCCACCACTCCATGAGCTTCAAACAGATTGTGCTGGTTGGTCAGGAGACCCAGCGGGCTCTACTGCTCCTCACAGGTGTGGCTTCCAGCATTGTTTTGCAAATTGTTTTCTGCAGATTCTTCAGGACCGGCTGCAGGGGATGGGGGAAGGAGACCTCTCACACTGGCTTCTGCAAGTTCTCCTCATCTGGTCTCAAACCAAATAGCTCTGCTTTTGTCTGTCTCCTGGTTTAGGATTCTGCATATTTCATATGTGTAAAGGGCCCTGATTTAAATTCTAATCTGCCCGACTTCCATGCTGGGCTCCTCACTTTATACCCCAAACTGCCCCCCCTACTTTCTCAGTGTTTCCTATACTTGACCACAAGTCTAGTGGTCTTGTGGCCCCAAGCCTGAGACCTTCTGGACTTCTTAATTCTGGGCAGGGCCCTGAATTCCCAGACATTGCCAACATTCAGATTGAATTCTGCCAAATCTAACTAGGTTTTTTCTCCACTCATCCCTCACACTGAAGGAAGTCCTGATTTATTTTTGGTAGTAAGCAGCTGGAGTCTGGGAAACTTGAGGTCACTCTCCGCTTATTTCATCTCTACCCTTTTTCTTCCAACCCCACTCTAGGGCAGTAAACATTTCATTCCATATGGCTTAGGGGGTGTTTGGGGAGTTAATGTGGATATTGGAGGGTCCTTTTCACCACATAATTGTCTGTCTCTCCCCACCCCCCAGAGGAAGGAAAGATCTACTTTTTGGTAGTGAATGAAACCCAGCTGGATCAACCACGCTCCTACACAGTTCAGCTGACTCTGAGGAAGATGTCCTGTTGCCTGCCTCACCTGCGTGTGGCCTGCATGGCTTCCAACCAGAGCAGTACTCTCTATCTCACAGGTAAGAACCACCTCCCTTGTTCTCCAGACCCCAGCCTTGGACAGATCTTCCAGATACAGACACCATCACCCACCCACCCCCAATTCTTATTCCAGCTCTGTGGTGGACCCCTAGGGCATCCTAGTAAAAGTTGTTTAGATTCCCAGACATCATAGCTGGTTCATTTCTAGTGGGTGTGAGATTCCCTGGATCTTGCACCTTTCATCCCAGGTGGGGCCTTATCACTAGGAAATGGGAGCCCAAAGCTGCTGAACTGAGGGTTTCCAACCCCCCAGACCAGGGGGGAGTGTATTTTGAAGTGCATACCCCAGGGGTGTATCGTGATCTCTTTGGGACCCTTCAAGCATTTGACCCCTTGGACCAGCAGATGCCACTTGCTCTCTCACTGCCTGCCAAGGTAGGATCCTGGAGGGACCTGGCAGATCAGAGGGGGAGGAGCTATAGGGGTTGAAAGGTTTTGAAGGTCTGTAATATGAGCAGGAACCAAATGATTGATCAGGGAGGGACAGGGGACCCAGGGAAAGGGGTGATATAGAGGGCAAGGCCAAGAGATCAGCCTGGGATTGTAGGTTAGTGGTTGAGAGATTCTAGAGTTCAGAGTTCCTCTGGACTATCTCCCCTTTCTATCTTACCCCCTAGGTCCTATTCTGTGCTCTTGGCTACAATCACTTTGGCCTCGTGGATGAATTTGGCCGAATCTTTATGCAAGGAAATAACAGATATGGGCAGCTGGGAACAGGGGACAAAATGGACCGAGGGGAACCCACACAGGTGAGACTGTTTCCCAGCAACTCTCATCCTGTCCCCCTTCCTCCAATTCCCTGACCCACCTGGGTCTCTCCACACCAATTATAGAATCCTCTTCCTACTGCCTGGGAAGTTAAGCCAACCAGTATGTAATGCCTGTGATATTGTTATGTGTCATACCCAGGGTTGGCACTGTGAGGTTCGTTCTGTGCAGTGCATGCTGTAAGTGCAATAGGAATTTAGTGAAGCGGGGAGATCTGGGTGGGCTAGAGTAAGTAGAAGAGTGAGATGTGAGCAGGGCCTAGTGGGTTAGATAGGATTCGGGTGGAGATAGGGAAAGGCAGCCTGTGTAATGGGAACAGGGACAAAGCTTGCAAAGACCTGGGACAGTGACAAGACTGGCCTGACTAAAGGAGAGAGTGTTTTATAAATGGGTAGATATGTGGTGGTATAAGTGAGTATGATCTTGGAGAGGTATAGATTTGGGAAAGAGTCATTGCAGATTCTGGAGCAGGAGAAGGCAACCCCTACAGGTAACTGAGAACAGGTCACCTCGCTAGAGTGCACAGGAAGCTTTGAGAAGCCCACTGGGAGGCTGTTGAGTGACAGTAGCACTTAAGACAAGGGCCTGGAGCTGGTACAGGGGAGGGAGAATGGAAAGGAATGGAAACATGAGATGTTTTGAAAGAAAATTAACAAGCCCTGGAAACTGATTAGATGTGAGCTGAGAGGTGTGGGACATAGTTGGCTCTGGCAATAGGTCCCTTGAAGAAAAATGGTATTAGCAATAAACATGAGTTGGAAGGGGATGCTGCTTTGAGGAAAGAGCATGAATGTGGACTTTTTGCAATAAGAGTAAAACACTAGAGTGGAAATGTCTCACTGGCAATTAGAATTCAAGTTGGAAACAACAAAATTAGAGCTAGAGGAGAAAACCTGGACAGGAGCAGCCATTGTAGGCAGGGGGAACGGAAAAGTTGTCGCTGAGACAGGAGGCACGCTCTCAAATGCCATGTCCCAGAAGCCATGGGCACAAGAAGTTTCAAACAGGAGAGAGGGGTCATTAGTGACAATGATACTGTAGAAATATATTTTATGGACATGGAAAGATGGTCATGCCGTATTTTTAGGAGGGAGAGATTGCTGCTGATCTGCATTCGGCAGGGCAGACCTCCCGGGCGGGGCAGGGTGGGGGATATGCTGAACCCCATTTCTCCCCTCTCTTAGTTTCCCTAGATTCTGCCCTGAGCCTTCTTGTCACCCTTCTCCAAGCTGGGCCCCGAGTCCCTTGGTGTTCCTCCCCTTAGGGACTCTGGCCTGTGTCCTCAGGTACACTATCTGCAACGCCCCATTGCCCTGTGGTGTGGCCTCAACCACTCCCTGGTGCTGAGCCAGGGCTCGGACTTCAGGAAGGAGCTGCTGGGCTGTGGCTGTGGGGCTGGAGGCCGCCTCCCCGGCTGGCCTAAGGGGAGTGCCTCCTTCGTCAAGCTCCACGTCAAGGTCAGAGCATGGTCAGGCAAGTGGGCAACCAGGGAGGGCAGGTAGCCTACAGGACTGTAGTTGGGGCTCCTGCAGGGACCCAGGGACCCCATTTCCCCAGTACCACCCACCTCCCTTTCCTGCCATACACCATGGCTACTGGCTCTCTCCCTTAGCAAACCCTGCCGGCCTCTCTGACCTCACAACCTTGGAGCTCAGCCAGCCAGCTCACTTGCTGGCTCATGGCCCATCTGAGAGGGAGGAATACAACAGCTGGAGCTTCCTGGGAACCCCTCAGTAAAGGGCCCACTCAGCCACGCCCCTTCTCCTCCAAGGTCCCTTTGTGTGCCTGCTCCCTCTGCTCTACCAGAGAGTGTCTCTACATGCTGTCCAGCCATGACATTGAGCACCATCCTGACTATCGAGACCTACCAGCCAGCAAGGTGGTGGGGACCCCCGAGCCCAATCCAGGGTCTGGAGAACCCCAGGACCCTGGGGGGGCAACCTGGGCCTGTGAGGAGTACCTCAGCCAGATCCACAGTTGCCCCACATTGCAGGACCGCATGGAAAAGATGAAGGAGATTGTGGGCTGGATGCCCTTGATGGCTGCACAGAAGGATTTCTTCTGGGAGGCCCTAGACATGCTGCAGAGGGCTGCTGGAGGGGTTGACAAAGCCCCCCCCAGCCCCTGAAAGCTGACCCCTCTCCTAGTCTTCACCCCTGGAGGGAGAGTCTGGCCCTGGGCCAAAGGCTAAGGAGAGATGGAGCGGTAGCAGTGAACACTGTATGTGTGCATGGGGAGGGGAACACGTTGGGCTGGGGACTGATAGATACGCCAAGGTGGGCAGGGGACTATTTTGTAAAATGTTCAGGGGCTGCCCAGGAGGGACCCCCAACTTGACTATCATGGACAAGAGATTTGATGGACAAATAGAATAAAAGGCTAAAGTAAGCCCCAGTTTGGAACCCTGGGGCCTGGGCAGGGGATGGGGGACCTGATGCCTGACTCAGTGGGCGAGGGAGGGCAGGAGCATGGACGGGACAGGCAGAGCAGAAGCAGCTCAAGCTTTCAGGTGCTGCAGAGCAGACAGCGTCTGAATCCTTCAACTTGCTTTCCCCTTCCATTCCCAAGACCTGACCCAGCCTTCTTGACTGGAAGTCCTAGCTCCACCTCTAGGACAATTCAGTCATGTGCTCTTTGGTGCCCCCCACTTGAATCCTCTTATTCCCATTCTGAGGAAGTCACTTCGGACATCAGAAAGCTTCCCACCCCTTTCCCTTCATCCCTGTGAAGTCAATCTCCCTCCTCTCCACCTCCTGTTTGCCTTCCAGGTCTGGTCTCACATGTCCTTTTCTGCTACTTTCAACTTCATCATCCTCTTTATCCGCATGCCATGCCCCACTCCCATACCTCCTTTCTCCTTGGCCTAGTCTGGGCCAGAGATGGAGAGAAGACAGTGGAAATTTGAAATTGGAAAGTAAGCTGGAAAAGGTGATGATCAGGAAGAGGGTGAGAGGCTGGGAGTCCAGGAAAGGACTTCTGGATGCCGAGGAAGCAGGAATGGGGAAGATCATCAGTGGGCTGGAGAGTGGCCGGGAAGGACCAGAGGCTGTGTTCACAGGATGCTCAGGCACTAGACAGAGCGGGCTTCCAGATAACATTACTTAATGCCTAGATTATAGCTGAGGGCCTGATGCTCCCTCAGCCCTTCATTGCTCCACCCCCTACTTAGGTCGACATTTATGTGTCCTGGACCGCGAGAGGCCCCTGGACTCGCCACTGTCCCAGCTCTACTCTCCCTGTCCCGCCTTCCCCGCCGCCCTCCCCACTGGCCAGTCCCCACGCCCACACACCCGAGGCTGCCTCATCTGGCACTGATTATCCCTGCTGCTGCTGCTGCCGCTGCTAAACTCAGCTGCTGCCTCTGTCTGGAAGACCCCAGCGCCTCTCCCCCCAGCCATGCTGCCTGCTGCCACAGCCTCCCTCTTGGGGCCCCTCCTCACTGCCTGGGCCCTGCTGCCTTTCGCCCAGGGCCAGACCCCCAACTTCACCAGGTAGGTCTCTTAGCACCTTCCAGTTAGCTTGAGTGAGCTTCAAAAGCCAATCCCTGGTGGACTATGCCTGGGGATCTTGTAGGTTCTTTTGCTAATACATCACCTCAGAGATCTCCTGCAGCCCCCTACCCTTCTCTGGCCCCCAAGTCTTCCCTCCCTACTGCAAGACCACTGTCTCCTGCGGACCACCAAGCTCCCGATTCCTTCAGCCTCTGTCCTCTGCCCTCTAAGTCTCCCCATATATCCAGACCCTTGGCCCCCCTTGGAACCTTAGAGCGCCAAGACCTTTAACTTGCCTGGTAGCTGGACATCTGGATTCCAGGAAGAAATTAGACATTGTGGGGGGAAGCGGGGGCAGTGAGTGGGAGACTTGGGAGTCAGATACTCAAGTAGTTATATGGAACAAGAGCAGAGCAAAGGTTGGGAGCTCAGAGAGCCTGGTCTTCAGCTTCAGTTTGAGGGCCATCTCTGCTGCTTCTCCCTCATCTCTCCACCCCCTCCCCCGCACCGCCTCGTGGCTGTGTCTACATCTGGAAGCAGTTAGGCGGCTCCTGTCCCAACTGCCTGGCAGCGTGAAGGGGGAGAGTGAGGAGGGGGGGCTAAAGAGGATTCCGGGAATTCCTGTTGGGGTGGGGGTGGGGACTGGGGGTTGGAGGGATACTGAAATTGCTGGCCCCACTTTTTCCTGATCCTCTGCTGTAGTATTTCCTGCCCCAATTCTCTCCTGGCTGGCTGAGGCCATCCCAGATCCTGTTAGATCCTGTAGGCCTTTCTCCCCCATGCTCCAGGCTTCCCTCCCTGGCCTCCCCATTCTCATTACCCTATCCCAGTCAGTCCACTACTCCCCCACTCATGGCTGACCCCTCTTCTGTCCTCCAGACCGGTGTTCCTGTGCGGAGGGGATGTGACTGGGGAGTCAGGTTACGTGGCAAGTGAGGGTTTTCCCAACCTCTACCCCCCCAATAAGGAGTGCATCTGGACAATAACGGTGAGAAGGCCCCTTTGCTCACTACCCCTTTTCAAAATCTCCAAGGCCTGGGTGCAGCCAGCACCACCACTTCTCCCTGGGGAAGTCCAAGCCCCCTCCCTTCTGGTCACTATGGCATCAGTGTCCACAACGATACCACTCTTAACCCTTATCTTCAAGCCTGCTTCTCCACCCCCAACCTCATTCCTGACCCCTGTAATCTCCCCATACACCTCAGGCCTTGCCCCCTGCACAAGCCCCATGCAAGAGCCCAGGCCCTCTGCTCTGCACCGTGATGGGGTCCCTTCCTCTTCAGGCCCAAATTTCTGTAGGAAATGCTTGGAGAAAGGAAGGTGCCCTTTGCCTGTGTTGTGTGTGGCCTGACTTGGTGGGTCCCTGCCCTGTCCCTGCCCTGTCCCTGCAATCAGGTCCCCGAAGGCCAGACTGTGTCCCTTTCATTCCGAGTCTTCGACATGGAGCTGCACCCCGCCTGCCGTTATGATGCTCTGGAGGTCTTTGCCGGGTCTGGAACCTCTGGCCAGCGGCTCGGACGCTTCTGTGGGACCTTCCGGCCGGCGCCCTTAGTCGCCCCTGGCAACCAGGTGACCCTAAGGATGACAGCCGATGAGGGCACAGGAGGACGAGGCTTCCTGCTCTGGTACAGCGGGCGGGCCACTTCAGGCACTGGTGAGACCTCCCTCACCTCCGCCTTGCCCCTCTCCTGGCCCAGCCCCGGCGCAGGCCCCGCCCCCAGCCTTAACTTTCACACCCCAAGAGCCTAGGTTCCCATTATCTCCCTTTCCCTTTTTCCTTACTAACTGCCCCTCCAGTCCCTCCTCCCCGTCTTCTCTCCCCTCTCCCGCTCCCACCCACCCCCTCTTCCAGGCCCCCCCCCAGGCGCGAGGCGGAAATGGGTCACCGACCCACGGGTGGAATGGGCGGCCTGGGGTTACTGGGATGGTGAGTAACTGCCCGCCCCCGTCCGCAATCGGGCTCCCTCAGACAGGCGTGAGGGGGCACCTCAGGGGTAGGGGACTAGGTTCCCTGACCCGGAGCCCCCTACACCCAGCCCGGGGCTCCCGATTGCGGTCCCATCACCCCCTCCTGGCGGCAGAAGCCTCCCTTAAAAAGTTTAAGGCAGGTACCACCCTAAAGGAGCCTAGGGGGTTGTGCCCCAGTTTCAGTGAATCCTCACAGCGTGAGGACTTTTCAGCCTGCCAAGGGGACTTCTCTGTCTGGAGGGGGAGATGGGATCTCCCAGGGGAAGAGGAGAGGTGTGGCCGCGGGTCAGGGGGCGGGGCAATCAGGGGCGTGTCCAGCCAATTCCTCCTCCCCCTTCCAGCCCTCCTGGTTGCCCCGCGGTCCAAAACTTCCCTAAGCCTCGCTCCTCCAAGCCCTCTCTCTGCTAACCTCTTTCCTCCTCTTCTCGCCCCCTCACCTTGAGACCCCGACATGCAAGCTTCTTGCACCGACAGGCTCCCAACCTAGAGCTCTTTTCAAGCTGACCGCGGGTCTCCACCGCCCCCCACCCCCCCTCCTCTCTCCCCTCCCCAGAGCACCAATTTTGCGGGGGGCGGCTGGAGAAAGCCCAGGGAACCCTGACCACGCCCAACTGGCCTGAGTCCGATTACCCCCCGGGCATCAGCTGTTCCTGGCACATCATCGCGCCCCAGGACCAGGTACAGACCCCCTGCCTGGGCTGCCCTCAGGGACCCGAGCGGCGTCCTCCAGCATGCAGCCAGCAAAGATTTATTGAACATCTATGTCCTGAGTACTGAGCTTGTGCTGGTGGGGGGTAAAAACAGACCCAACATGCTTACACGCAAAATAAATAAATTTTAAAAATTACACCTATGACGAGCAAGGTACACGATGCCGATAAACTGGTGTGTGTGTGTGTGTGTGTGTGTGTGTGTGTGTGTGTGTGTGTGTGTGTGTGTGTGTGTGTGTGTGGTGGAGGTGGTTTCTGGGTCTGTTCCTTGAGAATGAGCCAGAACTTGACCTTGCCAACAATGGTGATGGACGCCACTGCAGGGTCCCCGTGTGTGTGTGATCCCTTGAGTTGTGGTGTGAATGAATTAAGAGGAGGGCATGAGGGGATGCGGGAGGTGAGAGAGGAGGCTGCTGCAAGCGTCCAGAGGCTGCGATAGGTAGAGGAGTTGAGAGGTGCCAAGCTCCTGAGGCCTCCGGCAGCTTGGGGGTCCCACCGCGCAGCCTCCACCTCTGCCCTGCCTCCAGGTGATCTCACTGACCTTCGGGAAGTTTGACCTGGAGCCCGACACATACTGCCGCTACGACTCGGTCAGCGTCTTCAACGGAGCCGTGAGCGATGACTCCAAGAGGCTGGGGAAGTTCTGCGGCGACGCAGCCCCGGGGTGAGGGGTCAGGACCTGGCTGGGCGGCAGGATTGGGTGTATCCACCTTCTCAGGTGCAGGAGTGGGGGACCTCACTGCTGTTGGGAGGGGCAGGGCTTAGCTGAAGAGTCAGGGTCTCAAATCGTGAGTCCAAAACCGGTGGGTGGAGCAGGTAGAATACCAGGCTTCGCACCAGGTCTAGGATCTGTGGATCCAGAGGCCAGTGGGGCCTGCGAAGTCGAAGTCAGGAAGCTAATGCATCCAACTAAGGGACAGAGGTTAAAAGGCCACTGGCCCGGGTAGGGCAGGGTGCACAGCCCCCTTGACATCTCCCCCAATGCCCTGCCGCCCACAGTCCCATCTCCTCCGAAGGAAATGAGCTCCTCGTCCAGTTCGTCTCAGACCTCAGCGTCACAGCCGATGGCTTCTCAGCCTCCTACAGAACCGTGCCGCGGGACGCCGCCAAAGAAGTGCCCGCCCAGAGTCCAGGGGAGGATGCCCGGCCAGATCCCCAGCTCCTTGGCCCCGGCCCCAAGCCGGGAACCCGGCCCAAAGTGAAGCCTGAATCCCCACCTACTGAGAAAACGAAAGCCTCCCCTAAAGCCGAGGCAACCCCTGTGGGCCCCAGTGAGTCTGGGAAGGGGGAGGAAGGAGACGCAGACTAAGATGGCTGTGTCAAAGAGTTCCTTTCTTGGCTCAGTCGTTCATGCTTATAACACTCACTGCAACCTCCGTGCTAATGGCTGGTATTGGGTGCTGGGACCCAAGGCTGGACAGAACTCTGAACAAGTTCAAATCAATGAGGCTGTTATGGAGAAAGTGGTCCTTCCTACCTACTGGGTAGGTCACCCTCCATAAACAGTGCCCCCTTCTCCCTCCTAGATGCACCCAGTGTCACCTGCCCAAAGCAGTGCCGGCGGACAGGCACCTTGCAGAGCAACTTCTGTACCAGCAACCTGGGTAAGAAGCCTCATCCCTAAGCTCTGCTCTTCCCGCTCCTCTCACCTACCCTCTTCTCCCCAAAATGCCCCCTCCTTCTGGTTCTAGCCTTGCCCTGGCCTCCTGTCTCCTCACCATTCACCTTCACTCTCCCACAGTGGTGACCGCAACAGTGAAGTCCATGGTCCGGGGTCCAGGGGAGGGCCTCACTGTCACTGTCAGTCTCATTGGTGCTTACAAAACTGGAGGCCTGGACCTGCCCTCTCCACCTACTGACACTTCCCTGAAGTTTTATGTACCCTGCAAGCAGTGCCCTCCCATGAAGAAAGGTAACAGAGATGTGGGGAAGTGGGGACTGGGACTCAGCCTCATGGAAATGACAGAGCTGGTAGAACCTGAAGGACTCAGAAGAGGAGATACAGCTACAAGGTACATAACATGAGCTTTCAATCACTCCCTCCCCTCCCCCAGGAGCCAGTTATCTGCTGATGGGACAGGTAGAAGAGAACAGAGGTCCCATCCTTCCTCCAGAGAGCTTTGTGGTCCTCTACCGGCCCAACCAGGACCAGATCCTCACCAACCTCAGCAAGAGAAGGTGCCCTTCCCAGCCTGTTCCGGCTGCTGGGCCCCAGACCTGAGACTCAGGTCAGCCTCCAGCCCCTGGCCCTAGGGATCACTTTTTTATCCAAATAAATATTCCTTGACTGAGGAAGGGATCACATCTCCATTTCTATGGTTTTGGGGATTTCTTTTCATAAATTCATTACACTCAACCGACATTTACTATAAAGAAGAATATTTTAAGAATGTAAGTGGATCTTGTCACCCCTTTGCTTAAAACTCTCCTGCATTCTCAACACACATACGCGCACACACACTGACTATTTAGAGGTGATGGATATGTTAATGAGCTTGATTGTGGTGATCGTTTATATATACATGAGGTCAGACAATGAAGTTCGTGAATTTTCCACCATGCGCTTACATGGTGGGAAGTTTGCGAAACTAATTGTCTGACGTGTGTGTGTGTGTGTGTGTGTGTGTGTGTATAAAAACATCAAGTTGTAGATGTTAAATATATACAATTTTTATGTCAAACATATCATAAATCTGTTAAAAAGAAATTTTAAAAACTCTCCCATAGCTTTCCATCAGTCTCAGAATAAAATCCAAAGGCCTACTGTAGGCTCAAAGGCTCTAGGTGATCTGCATCTTCCCTCCCACCTCCTTCACCTCTGACTGTTGTCTCCCTTACTACTACTTTTCCAGTCACACTGGCTCCTTGACCATTTCTAGAACACTGACTTTGCCTGTACTATTCCCTCTACCTGGAATTCTCTTCTATAGATGGCTCATAGCTCGCTTCCTAACTTCAATCAGAACTTTATTCTAGTTACTCAGTCACTTGTTCATTCCAAAAGGCGTGAGACACTGTTTTAGGCACCAAAGATACAACAAAGTCCCTGCTCTTGTGGAAAGGAGAGTACATTCTACTGGAGCAAAGATAAATAGTAAAATACATGAGGTCAAACAGCTCTATGAGTGCTGTGAAGAAAACAAAAGGATGATTAAGAGGACAAAAGTAGATTGTACATTTGATACAGTGCTCCCCTAGGGAAGGCTTTCAGATAAGATCAACTTTGTTTTTGCTCCACTGCTAACCAATTGTGTGGCCTGGAGTGAGGTTGTTCACTTTACTGAGGTTTCTTGTCTTTAAGATTTGACGATTTGGTGTGATGATATAAGTGGCAGGGTTGGTAAATCTTAATCCCTGTGCAAATCCGAGTGATTTTCGAGTTTCATGTAGGAAGGAGAAAATCAGGAGGGGAGCCCTAGGCTGAGACCCAAATCCAATTGGGAGCAACCTCCAACTACTACTGTAGCAAACAGCTTTGGTTGCTGCAGAGGCTTCTAGGAGAGCCTGGGATTGAAGTGGAGAAAGAGGGCTTCTTTGTGGGATTGAATTCTAGCGATCTGGATGGTCTGAGTGGGGAGAATGGAACAAAGCCCGCTCCCAGCCTCGCCCAGGTTCCCCAGAGTAACTCCAAGGCTACAGCTCTAGCCAGAGACACTGGCCAAGCTTTTTGTCACTAGGCTCAAGTCAAACACGTCTTTAAGCACACCAATCGGCGTATACTTATGGCGGAAACGAGGTTGCCCTGGCCAATGACAGAGGCCGTACGGCGGAAGTGCAGAAAGCATCTCTCCGGCAGATGGCCGCTTCTTTACGATCACAAATTGATTGGCAGATACTGTAAGCATCGTAGCACGAATGGCCGATCGGAAGCGGAAGCCTTAAGGAGCGCAGGCCCGAGCTCAGGGAGGAGTCGGAAGGACAGAAACAGGTCTCTGGGTAGCCGGAGGCAGAAAGGGCAGGTCCGGAGGGGACCGCTGCGGCTGGTGGAGACTGGTGGGAGAAGGGCCGAAGCCCCAGGACGCCCGGAAGGGGCGGGGCCTGGGGCGGGGTGAGGCTTAAGGAGATAGCCCGGCTGGGAGCCGCGAGGGGCCGGGTTTATGGGGTGGGCGTGACCATCAAGGTGGGGCTTGGGGGCGGGGCCTAAAGGGACTGGCAGAGCGGGAGAGGGCAAGGGATTGGGGAACCCGGCCTGGTTCGCGGGAGCCTTATCTAGTGAGGTTCCGAGGCCGCGGTGGCGGCGGCGCCATAAATCCAGGCCCTGCCCCACGATCTCATCCATTCACTTTCCCCTCTTTCGCTCCCCAGCTCTAGACTCCAGGCCCTGTCCCCCGAGTTCTGCTCTCGAATGTCCCACCGCCCAGAGCCTGCATGCGCCGCGGGGCGCCCCAGGACCAGGAGCTCGTGGGTTCGGGGGCTCCTGGGCGGGGATCCCGGGGCGCCCCTCCTACCTTGGGACCTGTTATTCCGGTCCTCGTCTTTCCCCCGGATCTAGTATTCAGAGCGGACCAACGGAGCGGACCCCGGCAGCTGCTGACCCTCTATAACCCCACGGGAGCTGCACTTCGCTTCCGAGGTGAAGAGATGGGCGCCTCATGCTAGGGATATGGGGACTGGAGGCAGGACACTGGGGGCGTGTATGGGCTGGAGGAGTCAGATGAGTGTGGTGAGATGTCCAGCCTTGGCGGACTGGAAGAATCATGGGGTTAGAAGGCAAGAGGAACTCTCTAGTGTCCCATCATGGGAAAGGCTTGTGTAGGGTCTCTGTGGCAATAGTCAGTCTCTCTGCGCCTTTATCCCCCAGTTCTGTGCACAGCACCTGCCAAATACACAGTGTTTGATGCAGAAGGATATGTGAAGCCTCAGTCCTGCATTGACATGTGAGTTGGGAGGGTGGCGAAGCCAGATACCACTGCCACCTTTCTCTGAATTACTGAGCTGTACTTAGGTCTCAGACGTGGTCCTCTTCAACCTGTTTTCCTCACCCTCTGTCTGCGACCATATGGGAAATTTTCCTGGGAGGGTTGGGGCCTGGATCCACTTAGATCACTGCCTCTCACTCACTTCCTCTCAATTGGCTTCTCTCCTATCTTGGGACCAGTGTGATTCGCCACGTGTCCCCCATTCCCAGCCACTATGATGTCCAGGACCGCTTCCGCATTGAGCTGTCTGAGGAGGGAGCTGAGGGCCGAGTGGTGGGGCGCAAGGACATCACCTCAGTTCTGAGAGCCCCAGCGTACCCCCTTGAACTTCAGGGACAATCCAACGCAATGCCCCACCCCGGGCCTCCTTCCAGGACCTCACCACCCACAGCCAGACACCTCCCGGAAAGTGAGTTTTGGGGAATGGGAATTTTTGAGTTCTGTAGGGAGGGAGGACCTAGTATTACCCTAGAGATAAGTTCAGCTGGAGTTGAAGAGGTCTTCTGGTTCAGTCTTTTGCTTTTTAATGGAAGCATTCCTAGGAGCTGAGATTTTATATCAGGTTAGGGAATACTCAGACTTTGCAGTTTCCCTGGTTTCTAGCCTCTACTTGATGGAAAAGTACTCCTTAGCTCTAACTTCTGTACTTTCTACCATGTGCCAGCTCAGTTCAGCTCAATAAGAGACCTGTGCTGAGCAATTATGCTGTACCAAGTTATGTGCTGGGTCTGGGAAATGGAGGTCCCTGCCTGACAGACAGGTACACAGAAACTAGTAATCAGGCAGAGTGAAGTGAAAAAGAATTCTGAGGAACCAGAGGAGAGAGGGTTTCTTGTGGCTGCGGGAACAGAGGCTCTAGGAGGAGAGATGACACTTGCCATGTGCCCCTGGAGGGCAATTAAAAGTGGATACACTTTCCGTTTTCAGCCTCCTCCATGGAGGACTCTGGGTTGGGCAGGAATGGGGGCTGGAACTTCTGCTGATCCTTGTTTCCCAGAATCCCACTCGCAATTGGCCACCAGCTCCTTCCTCCTCTTCTTGCTGACGGGCATAGTCTCGGTGGCCTTCCTTCTGCTCCCGCTCCAGGATGAACTCGGCAGCCAGCTGCCCCAAATCCTTCACGTCTCCATGGGACAAAAGTTGGTGGCAGCCTATGTCTTGGGTGAGCACAGGAGTGGCCAGGGGATCCAGGCCCCAGAGAAAGGGGGGTGGAGCCTGAGAAGAGGGCTTCTAGAGCCCCAGGGCTGCTCATACGACCTTGGTCTTTCTTTCTCCCTGCACCAGGCCTTCTCACAATGGTCTTCCTCCGGACCTGAGCCCCCTGCTGAACCCTCCCTGGGCAGGGATGTGAACGTGAGACAGCCACTGTGATGCCCATACCTTGCCTTGACCCCTACTCCGGTCTTCCTTCTTCCTGCCCACTTCCCCCACCACCCCAGACAAAAAATACCCAGGGATTTGTATTCATTTTCCAAGTTAAATAAAATGAGTTTGTAAAATTAAACTGAGAAATGTAGGGAACATGCCCCTTTCTTCCTACTTATTTTCCTCCAGTTCCTCCTACTCCCATTCCCAGGGGACCCAGGCACCTGAGCCAGTGAAGAGGCCCAGTCGGGATTTAGAAGGGCTGGATTCTAGTCCTGAGGCTGTACCAAAAAAACTGACCTTGAGCAAGACCTTTAATTTCTCTGAGCTTCCGTTTCTACCTCCTAAATGGGGGAATTGGGAAAGCTGGTTCTTTTTTTTTCTCACCCATTCCTTTACCCCGCCCCCTTTGGCTACATAAGCTTGTTCTGTATACTTTTGGGTCTATTTCTGTTTTGTTTTGTTTAATCATTTAAAAAAACTTTTTAGGTTCCACATGTAAGTGAAATACAGTATTTATTTATCTTTGTCCGTTTGACTTATTTCACTTAACATAATGCCCACCAGGTCCATCCTTGTTGTCATAAATGGCAAGATTTCATTCTCTTTTATGGATAAGTAATATTCCAGTGTGTGTGTGTGTGTGTGTGTGTGTGTGTGTGTGTGTGTGCCACATTTTCTTTATCCATTCATCTATTGATGGGCACCTAGCAGCACTGGTAGATTATTGATTGGGGACAAAAATCAGCAAGATAATGTTGTTAAGACAGACTTAGTCGGTTAATGCTGCTGGAAGGTTATCAGTTGTTCCAGCTTACTTTGGGGGCCTTGGGAGCTGCCCCACTGCTCAGCGAGTCTTGTCCCTCCCACACATGGAGCTAGCCCCAGTGGAGTATGGCCCCAATAGTGTGCAGAGAATGGCTGTGCAGCCTGTGTCAGGGAGTATGGGGAGGGTTATCACTATGGTCCAGTGAACCCCTCACCAAATTACATGTGTGTGAGTGATAACCATTCATACTGGGCTGGCTATGCCCAGGTTCCCAAAGTGCGTTTGAGGTATCACACACAAATGACCCTCTATAGGGATGGGAGGGGCTTGGAACACAGACTTTTTTTAGAAATTTTATTGGGAAACAGTATGTTTTTCTAGGACCAATCAGCTACAAGTCAAGTCATTCCAATCTAGTTGTGGAGGGCACAGCTCAACTCCAAGTCCAGTCACCATTTTCACTCTAGTTGCTAGGGCCCCGCCCACTGTCCCATGCAGGAATTGAACCGGCAACCTTGTTAAGAGCACACACTCTAACCAACTGAGCCATCCGGCCACCCACCGGCAGCTCAGCTCAAGTCGTTTTCTTCGGTGTAGTTGCAAAGGGCGCAGCTTATTGGTCCATGTGGGAATTGAACCAGCCAATTTGTTCAGAGCACACGCTCTAACCAACTAAGCCTCATGACACAGACCTTTTTATTTAAGTAAATTTTTTTAGAAAACAATACTGAGCTTGCAGCAGTTGGCGTGGGTATTAGTTTCCTGATGCTGCTCTAATAATTTAGTGGCTTAAAACAACACATTAATTCTACAGTTCTGGGAGTTGGAAGTCCAAAATGAGTCCTCTGTGGATAAAATCAAAGTGTCACCAGGGGAGGATGTCTCTTTGCCTTTTCTAGCTTCTGTGAAAGAAGAATGAAGATTCCTTGTCTTGGGGTCCCTTCCTCCATCTTTCAAGCCTAGAGTGGAAATAACAAATAATCATTGTTTAAAACCTCTCACACACACAAAAAAATCAAGAGTGTAGCATTTTCAAATCTCTCTCTGACTCTGACCCTCTGCTTCTGTTGTCACTTCTCTTTTCTCTATCGTTGATCTTCCTGCCTCCTTTCATAAGGACCTTAGTGATCACGTTGCCCCCCCCCCCTTCCCACTCCACCCAATCCAGGATAACTTCCCTGTGTTAGTTTGCTAAGGCAAACATTCTGGGTGGCTTAAACTACAGAAATTGGTTTCTTCACAGTTCTGGAGGCTAGAAGTCCAAGATCGAGGGAGGGATTAGCAGATTCGGTTTTTCCTGAAGCCTCTCTCCTTGGCTTGCAGACAACTGCCTTCTTGCTATGTCCTCTCACAGCCTTTCCTGTGTGTGTGCATCCCTGGTGTCTATGTGTCCAGTTTCCTCTTCATTCACAGTTTTCAGGGATTAGGATGTGGACCTCTTTGTCCAGACCATTATTCTGTCTACTACAGGGAGCAAATGAACAAGGTGAAGAAGGGCTGAGATGCCACTTTGGAAAATTTGTTCTGGACTGTGTGTCACAGAAGCAAATAGTCAAGAAGGATTCTGGCCCCAGTCCAGTCTCCTGAGATCCCACCAAGTCAGGCTCAGGTGGCTAAGGAAGGGACAGTTTCATCCTAGACCCAGGGGCTGGGACATCCCAAACCATAGGCTAAGAGGCTTTTACATCCCACATCCTGAGGAGCTGGGTAGGACCCTGAGAGGCGGATGCTGGGAATTTTGCAGCTGTCCTTGGAGAGGCAGGGCCGCAGGGTCTCAGCCTTGTGAGACAGAGATGAAAGGTAAGTGGTGCCACCTGCCCTTGTAATTCCCTGCCCTCCTGCAGCTTCCAGCTCGCTGGACAAAGATTGGCCAAAGGGAACCCTAGCAGGAGAGGTCCCAGGCCAGTCCAACTGTGTGACCACTACAATCTCACAGGACCCCATGCTCAGAAGGGATCCTGTGTTTGGGTTTAAGGCTCTGTGATCACTGTCTTGAAATTCTTAGTGATTCTACCTTTGAATTTATGTTTTGGAAGTACAGTCCAATGGAACAGTAGAGCATGTGCTTGGGGTCCTGCCTCCCCTAAATGGGGTTCTTGCCTGCCAGGCCCCTGCCCCCATCCAGTGACAACTGCCACCCTCCTTCCCCAGCAGGAACCTGGGCGCAGGCACAGGAGGGTCCAGGTCTGGATCAGGGTCATGGTCGGGTACACCTGTACCAAGTTGTGGGGCAGAACCCTGGGTGCCTATGGGGATCTTCCCCAGAGTAATTCCCTGTCTGGGGGATCTGGACATTAAACAGCAAATTAAACCCCACCATGACAGGTTGAGCAACTATGGAGCAACTATGGAACTTGCTTCTTAAACAAGCCCTGCATTTTCATTTTGCACCAGGCCTTACAAATTATGTAGCCGTCCTTTGTCTCTGGAGATAGTTCAGAGCCAGCCCCCCACCCCGTGGTAGTTTTTGGAGAAGGGCCCTCCTTATTTCCTTAGGCAATTTCCTTCCTTAGGTAACAAAATAGCTCAGAATTTCCCCCATGGAGACAGCATTCCCACTTGCATCCTCTCTGGCCCCTTCTGCTCAGTCCTTCCCTAGGTCTCAAGGGAGGGGTGATTGAGTGGATGAGAGTGAGGAAGCATAAAGGTGCTTATAAACAACAGACACCCAGGTAGTTTATTGAAGTACAAATCCCAGCCCCCCTACCCCAAGCTACCTACTGGCCATAAGGCTATGGTCCCAGCCATCTCTCCCTCCTAGAGCTGGCCCGATCCCAGGGCCTAGGAAACCTTCCAGCGTGGTCTCCAGGTGTGGGGGGTGTGGCTCCTGAAGTGGGAGAGACTGAGATTGATGAAGCAGCTGCTGCTGTCTAATTAGCTGACCAGTATGACCATCCATTATGGAAGGCACTGTTCATCTACTCCTACACTGTGGGGTCAGGGGTGTGTGGGTGTTTACACTGGGCCCTAAGGAGAGACAGGAAGGGCTAATGAGTAATCGGTCAGCATTGAGAGGTGGTGCAGTCACCCAGAAACCTCTCAAGCAGAGAGAGCAGAAGCTGTCCGCCAGGAGCAGGGGCATGTGACCCCCATCTCAAGCCCCCACGGATCTCAGAAGTTGTTATCGGTGTTCCAGACGTCTCCGCTGAGTGCGTTGGCGGCCCCCTGCAGCGTCCAGGTGAGCAGGGCCAGCTGGCGCCGAAAGTGGCTCTCCTCGAAGGTCAGGACGGGCGCCACCCCAGAGGAGGCAGTCCTCAAAGCCTTAGAGCCGCTGGAGCGCAGCAGCCGCACGTGGTCGAGCAGGGCACCCAGCGTGTGGTCTCCACGGCCCAAGAAGATGTGTCGGAAAGGAGAGTCCGCTGGTGACACGTACTGGGACAGGAAGTAGAACTCCACCTGCACAGAGAGGGGGGTCAGATTGAAGTTGGGGCTCTTCCCAGGAGCAAAAGCCTGAACAACAATTCCAAACCAAGATTGGAACCTAGTACTTGCTTAATAAATATGGTTGAACAGCTTCTTTAAGTCCCACCTCCCTTTGGCTACACAATCAGGAACTGCCACTCTGTGAAGTCACAAGTAGCCTGGTAGGATGCGTCTTCCAGCTTGTTTTAGGTTGGATTCCTTCCTTTCTATCCCTTGAACCTCCAAGTCTGCCTCTAGGTCTCCCCAGCCTTCTCTCCTCACCCCTTTACTTCCCTGTCCAAAGCCTCAAAGAATAGTCTATTGTCCTGCTGTTCCTCACCTTCCCACACCCCAGTCATTCACCCCACCTCCACCAATGTCCACAGCCCAAACTCAAAGGTCAAGCGGACAGCCCAGTCCTAATGAAGTGCCTGATGCTCTATCCTCACCCTTTGACGCAGATGCTGTTTGTCTTTCTGCGATGGCCTTGCTCCTAGCCCAGTTCTCCTCCTACCCTTCTGCTAGCCTCTCTAGTTCCTTCTGCTCCTACCTGTCTGCAGGCCCAAGGTTCAACCTCTACCTTTTGTCCTTCTCTTTACCTACAATCCAGTGGTTTTCAACCCTGACTGCATATTAGAATCACTATGGGAAGATATTTAAATTACCATTGCCTGGGTGCCATCCCAGCAAAATCAGAATCTCTAGGGGTGGTCTCACACACTCATGTCTTTTTAAGGCTTCCACCATTCACTGAAAGAGCTCATGCATGGCCTTGACTTCAACCAGGACCTCGTGGGGACAGTTGCCAAGTCTAATTGACAAATCATCCGCTGGAATCCTGCCCTCAGCCTGCTGAGCCTCCCCACTGGGGTAGGGGACACCTGGACACAGCCTCACACATATGTGGGCACCAACTTCCAGAACCTGATCCTTGCACCCACATTCCCTCATGAGTACCACAGTCTGCCCCAGGTGCCAGGCTCTCAGCCTTGAAGGTGAGTGCAAGTGGGGCAAGCACAGGCTTTGTGGTCAGACTGCCTGGTTTCTAATTTTGGCTCCACCACTTACTGTGATCTTGGATACGTTATTTAGCCCATCTGAGTTTCAGTTTCTGTATGATACTAGCAACCTCACAGGATTTGGGGGAGTCCTGTGAGAGAAAGTGAAGCCCTAGCATATGGTAGCCCTTGATAAATGGCAGCTGCTATGATTATTCTCCTCCTCTTCTCTGAACACTCATTCTGCCCATTTTCCTTCCAAATGTCTTACATCAGTACAGTCCCCTCATCCACAGGTGGCATATGCTGCCACCTGCCACCCTCACCCAGAGCTCAGTTGTCATTAATTTCATTCCTTCTTCAGGCCATTTACATTCTGGCCAAATCCTTCCTAAAACTCCACTTTGCTTCCATGTCCTCCCTGCTCAAACACCTTCCTATTTTCCTTGATGCCCAGACCCTAAAAATTCAAATTTCTTATCCTGGCATTCAAGGCCCCCCATAGTTGGTCCCTAACTCACTATTTGGTGCTCCTTCCTCCTTAGCCTCTCCACAGGGCCTCTGTTCAGGTTCTGCTGGTCCACTCCCTGCTCATAAGGAGAGTCAGGCCTATTTCACTGCCTTGTCCTTATTCTGGGGCTCCCCACCCTGAAATGTCCTCTTTCTTTGAACCAACTCAAGTTCTGTCTGTTGTTCAAGACCCAAGTCATAGTCTAAAGCAGGAATCAGCAAACTTTTTCTGCAAAAACCCAGATAGTAAATATTTTAGACTTCTCAGGCCATACTGTTTCTGCTCCAACTACTCAGTTTTGCTGTTGTAGCACAAAAGCAGCCACAGGCAGTATGAAAACCAATAAGCATAGCTGCATTGCAATAAAACTTTATTTACAAAAACAGAAGGCAGGTCCAATTTGGCCCACTGGCTGTAGTTAACTAAACCCTAGTTTAGAGCCACAAAGTCCCCTGGGTCTTGCCCAGCTCTGGGTTGTAGATTCTGAAGTCCTACGTCTTTTCCTCTCCAGCCTGAGTCTGAATCATTACCTTATACACAGATGCTGTTATCCCTTAGGGGACAACTTTGGGGGCAGGGTGAGGGGGGTGTCTTTTTGTGTCCTGGAGTCTGGCATAACAGGGGTTAAAGCAAGATCTGTGAATGACAATGAACAATGTCCAACCTCTTGGGCAGGGTCACAGCAGGGTCATGTCCAGGTAGAGGGGACAAAGGGAAGGGGAGGAGAAATCAGGAAGGGGGGAAGAAGAAGAGACTACTGAGGTGAGAGGAGAATGAGAGAGACCAGGAGAAAGGGGCAAGTACCAAAGAGCAAGAGGGATGGGTTTGTGAACAGAAAGAAGGAATGAGGGATGCCAAGGGAAATGGGCAGGGACCCAAGCAGGAAAAAGGGGGTGAAAGTGTGCCCATATTCACTGAGGATGGTCCTGCTTATAATTTTGCCATATAGACTTTTCCCTACACCTACAGTCCCTAACCATCCATTTCCTGAGATCAAGGGGTTGCAGGGTTGAGTTCGGAAGGAAGAGGAGGGGTTGGAACTGGAGATGGGGTTTGGGTTGCAAAGTACTAAAGCTAAGCAGGAGGGATTGGCAAGGGAATAAGATCTAGTATAAATTTCATGTGACACCTCCTCCAAGCAGCCTTTCTGGGTTTCACCCATCTCGTTACCAGAAAGAAAAGCGATCTCCAAGCTCTGAATTTCTTGTCTTTTGCGCCTCCCAGGCCATAACCCTGTACCTATTGTACTGTGGACCGTGGAATGCTTTTACTCTCCAAAGGGGTGGGAGGCAGTGTGTGTGTGTGTGTGTGTGTGTGTGTGTGTGTGTGTGTGTTGGGGGGGGGGGAGGGTATTCAGCTCTGCCCAGCATTGGCCAAGCGACTGTGGCCAAAGGGCTGGCCCTCCTTATCCGTTTCATCTCTTTGTGGAGCCTGCCTCAGTGGTTGCTCCAGCCTAGCCGGTCTGTGAACACTGAACATCCAGGACTGGGAGCGCCAGAGGACAGGGACCAAGGGAAGGCAGAAGTAGGGATGAGGAGCGCCAAGTGAGAGAGGCTAGGCAGCAGGAACAAGGGCACAGCGGCCAGGGGACGGGGCCTCACCCGCATGATGCGCACGTTGTACATGCGCATCAGCCTTTCATCGCTTTCCTCGGAGCTGTAGATCTCCTTCCGCAGCTTCTCTGCTGCCCGGATGTAGTCTCCCCGCGCCGAGTACACCCACTGGAGGGTCAGCCCGCGGGCCTGGGTGTGGAGGCATGGGCTGGGGCCGGCAGTAAAGGCCACGACCCAGCCTAGGATAGAAGTCAAGTGGCTGGGGACAGGGCTCACCCTGGGCCTGGCAGGAGTGGGTAGGTATAGGGGGAATGCTGGGGGGCCTAATGAAGTGAGAGGGAAGACCTGTACGGTTGGAAGGAGCAAATCCCAGGGGGTTGGGAGGGGCTTAGGTGACTGGAGCAGAAGTAAAGGGGCCAGGTTGCCATAGGGGACGTAGACTCCAAGGAGAGTGTGGGGAGGAGGGACCAGACCCTTTGGCCCGGGTTGCCCTTTAAGGGGACATAGCGCCCCCACCCCCAAAAGCCCTGAGCATCGTTGGCATCTTAGACCTTGAGGTCCCCAGAGAACTCGTTGAGGCTGCTGATGTGCCTGAGGACCACATCCCCATAGCGGCCAAAGTCAAGGGGCAGCAGGTGATCATGGCTGAGCCGGATGAGGAGCTGTCCTGTGAGTTGGGCCACAGCCTGAGCCACAGCCGGCAGGCGGCCCTGCAGCATCTTGTGCAGGTTGTCATAGGTATCCTCCTTTGTGTGCAGGAATGGGTACGCCTGGCCATCCTGCTGGGACAGGAGATGCTGGCTCAGGGGCATGGTGCAGACAGGCCGAGGGGCTGCTGCTTTGGGCTGAGGCCAGTGAGTCTTACCTCCACGAAGGAGAACTCAACAGCAGGGACCCCTGCAAAAGCGGTGAAGGAATAGGCACTGCTGTCCATAGGAAGCGGCTGGATCCTGGGAGAGGGGCAGGTTATAGTACTCTGTGGGTTCAGGCTTACCCCATATCATCCCCAGCTCCCCACTTGTCCTAACTTACACCTCTGCATCCCAGCTGTGATTGTTGAATGCCACCTGCTCATAAAGGGTCTGCCCACTGTGGTTAGGAGAATCCACCTGGGGGGCACGGTGGGGGCACAGTCAGGCTCTCTGCCCCTTCCCCCAGCTTCCCTCCATACCCTGCTCCTGGCTGGACTCTTGCCTGCTTCAGGATGTTTTCAATGAGGCTTATCAGAAGGGGGCTGGTCTTGGCATGGAACTTGTCATCCCCTGCAGAGAGGGACACCAGGCTCAGGCCTTGGTCCTGAGGACACTTGTGCACCTGAGGAGGCCCAGGCGGTGACATTGCCCCTGCTCACCCAGCACAGCGTTGTCCAGGCTCACATAGACGACAGCTTTGAGGTGCAGCAGGCTGAGGTAGCCCTGTGGGTGAAGGGTGTGGAATGAGAACACACCCCACTTCTCCCCACTTCCTATCTGCCCAGGACCCCACATTACCTCCAGCCACTCCGTGGAGCCCACACTCCCAAAGTCACCTCCATCCCAACTGATGAAGAGAAGACTTCTGCGGGGCCGGAAGCCTGGGGACAGGGAGGAGGGAGGATGGGCTCAGCTGGGAGCCAAGCAAAGACCCCCTCTTTGTCTTCCTCTGTTCTAGTCCCCTGGGGTCTCTCCTTCACTCTCATCAAGCCCCTAACCCAGCCCATCTCACCTGGGTCTACCCTGACACAACTCTTATAGTGATGGAGATGGCTTACATATAGAATCTCCTGCTTAATCTACACTCAACCATGGGCTGTTACTACTTTCATGTTTAAATGAGAAAATGGAGATGCAGTCACTTGTCCAGGGCCACGCAGCTAGGACATGAGTGGCCAGGTTTGGAGCCCAAGTCTGAGTGGCCACCCTCCAGCCTATGCTCCTAACTGCCTCTCTGCCATATCCTGACTTGGGCCACAGCCCTGGCTGCTGGGCCTGGGCCCAGGCCCTGACCTTACCATTGCTCACCATGGAGGAAAAGGTCCGCACCAGCTCCAGAAGTATGGCAGTCCCCACAGCGGACTTGGCAGTTCCAGGGCCCCATGCATCCCTCTGAGCCCCAATGACAACATAGTGATCTGGGGGAGGAGATGTTTGGGGTCTACCTCTTACACTGGCAGTACCCAGAGGCTTCTCCCTCCACCCTGGGAGGGTAAGGCCTCAACACCATTTCTCCAGGCCCCCAACCAGTCTCCATCTCTCAGCACCTCACATCTCTGCAACCCCTGCTGTCCCTAAAAAGAGTGCCCCTCTTACCCCTAGCCCTGCCTGGGTGGCTTGCTCCCTCAGCGGAATGCCTGGGGTCATTCTGGACTCCATTACCTCCCAGGTCAGCCATGTCCCACTGTTTGCCAAGTCCTGACAGGTTTTCCCCTTTTAAATCTCTCTCTATCCCTACCCCACCCATACTTCCACCACCAGCATCTTCAGCAGACCCTCATTACAGGCCTCTCTGTGCCTCTCCCTCAGTGCTTATAGGTATCACCCTCTCCTTCCCAAGCTTTTCTCATGACCCCACCCTTCAGCTCCAAGAACCCACTTTGATTTTCCACTGCTATCCACATCTAGTTATGCTTCAAAGGTTCATCTACCTTATCTGACCTCCCTTTCATGATGTAACATCACCCAGCTATGCATGCCCACCTCCAGTGCTAGACAACTCACTACCGCACAAAACAGCTCATTCTAGCTCTGGGAAGGCTGAACCTTGAGATCGCACTGCCACCCTCCATGGTATCAGTTTAGCCCCAACTTGCCAGCTCCTGTCCCTGCTAACCCGTGCGGCAACCTCCACTTCAGCCAAAGCCTCCTCCCTGCCCCGGGCCTCTTGCTCCAGGATTATCTCTGGCCAAGGTTTATAAGCAGCTCCCCTCCGGCAGGCTGGGCAAGCAAGCACACCTGGCTCTGATCGGCCCTCGATGCAGCCAAAGATGTTGTTGATGGGGGTAGAGACCCTGTTGTTGTTGACACCTAGCTGCAGGCCTGGCCCAGGGCCCAGGCGATAAGGGGAGCTTGAGAGCCGCCCCTGCCATTCCTGGGGGGTCACAGGACCTTCAAGCTTCCTGGAGAGGTTTGGGGTAGAAAGGGTTGGAAGTAGCAGACAGGCTCAGGCTATAGAAGAGACCGATGCCCCCTTTTCACTCTTTTTCTCCCTCCCACCCTCTGGTTCCACTCTCTGCCTCTGCACCCTGCCTGAGGGGCAATACCGCCCGGGCTGCCTTGGACAGTTGTGCAGGTTGTGTCCTGCTCAAGATTGCCCAGCTGAGGTGAGTGTGATATCCAACAGGAGCTCCACTCACCAAACCTTGGACACTGACAAGAGGCTATGCCCTCCCAGAAGACACCTTTTTGTAGTTCATCCAAAGGCACATTATTGGCTAGCTGCAGCCTACTTCTCCCTGCCTCCTCTTCTGCCTCCCACATGCCCCTCACCTCAGCAGGAGGGAGGCAATGTCAGCACTGATGGGCTGGGCTGGGATGCTCGGGAGGCCCGAGGACTGGACTGGAGGGAATTGGGTTTGATTGAAGGAAGGAAAGCCAGGCGTGTAGGGGTCCCCAGTTCCCAGGTGCACCTGTGGGGAGAGGGGTGCCCACTGAAGCTGTGGGCTGAGCTTCCAGAAATAGTGTGCCAGCCTCATCTCGGGCCAGGTGCAGCCCCAGGACCCTAGGAAGGCACTGCTACCTCCCCCCAGACTCACATGTCCATACACAGCCCGGTGGCTAGACAACCCTGGCTTGTGTGGATCCTGGGAGAAGTCTGCTGGGTCAGGATATATGAGCACTCCTCGGGCCCCAAAGTCCTGGGCACTGGCCACCTGGGGAAGGGAGAGGCTAAACGACTCCTTTTCCCAGAAAAAAAAAACTGATTTATAAGGGCAGGAGAAGCAAGGAAAAGTGAAATGACATGACCTTTGATCTCCGGTTGTGGATCTATAGAGAGGCTGTGGGCACCACCTGGCCCTCATCTTGCGCCCTCCAGCAGGGCCTTGGCAGCCCTCCCTGCCAACATTTTCTTATGACCTACTTTGTGCTTTCTTTTTTCCCTCTGACAGCCTCCTAGACGCTATCCAATCCTGGGGGTCCCCAGATCCCCATCCAGGGACCCTCACCTTTTGGGCAAAGCTGATCAACCCCAAGCGCACCAGCAGGAGGCGCCCGGTCGGCTCCACGCCCAGGGCCCGTAGGTGCTGTAGGTCCTCCGGCCGCCCGTAGTGGGCGTACACTAGCTCTCCCTGAGGGTGGGGAAGATAGTCAGGCGCGCTCGCCACGTCCCTCCTCCGCCAGGAAACGGGGCCGCGGCAGGAGGCGCTCACCGTGGCGTTGCCCGTGGCGCTGTAGGGGCAGTAGACGTCTGGGTCCTCCAGCGGCAGCTGCTTCCCGGGCTCCCCGGCCCAGTGCAAAGTGTTGGGGTGAGCCCTGAGGAGTGAGAGTGGTGAGCGTCCCCGACCTCGCGCGCTCCCCGCCGCGTCCCTCGCCTCCCACGGACTCACCGGTTCGGGAACTGCAGCCCCACGTAATGAGTGTCAGTCCACACGTGGTCCAGCTTCTGGCGCAAGAGCGCAGCGCGGAGGTCCTGAGCCAGGGCGGCCATCCCAGCAGAGCCAGCCACCCTTTTCCGAAGGCTGGTTTGCCTGAGCGGGGAGAAGTGGGATTGGGGCGCCGGAGGGGAGAGGGGCAGGGACCTCTGGGCGCCTGGAGGAGAGGGAGGTGGGGGGCGGGGAAGGATGCCAGAGACATGGGGTTGTCCTGGGCACTGGGTCCTGAGGGGCTCCCAAGCCTGTCCCTGACCCTGCCATTACCATCAATTCCATCACCACCAGGTTGCGACCTAATGTTTCCAGGGCCTCCTGCTTAAAATCTTAGCTGCCCATAGCTAGGGGTCCTGTCCACCATTCCTTAGGTTCTTCCTGGCTCAGGTCAAACTCAGCAATCTACTACCACCTCCACACATGCACACTGGCCTGTACTTTGCCCTAGGCACGAAAGCTTTTCTTCCAAAGGGCTAACTGCACAGACGGGGGACACTCCATCTTCCCTGTCCTCCACCTGGGAATCACGGAGGCACCTTACACAAAGGTTCCCGGTGGAATCGATGGAGACCCTGTCGTCTTCCATAGTCACCACCTAACTAGCGAGCCTGTTGTCACCTGAACTTTTCCTCTTCTTCCATGTCATCTCTGCCACAGCCCCTCCCCCCCATGACCTCTGTGAACCTGCTCCACCTGTGCCCTCTCCATGGCAAACAAACCCCTCCTTCTTTAGCATCATCACTGAATACTCCTTCTACCCTTTGCCTTGTAAGAAACCTTGCTCTCCCTTGAGAAGCCAGGTCTCTTGTGGGACTCCTAAAGTTCACATACCAGGTTCACATACCACCTGGGCTTAGAGTGGAGGCATGCTCCTGGCTCCACTGTTTACATTTGTGACCATTTCTCCTGTGGTAGAACTCTTTCCTTTGAAGCCTGTGCCCTCCAGCTCTCCCACCCTCTGTCCCACCTCACTGCTATTATCTTCTAGCCAATTGGTCACTTGACCACTTTCATTGAGGGCTTTGTCATGGTACACTAAGCTTCTGCACTGCTTCAAAATCCACGTGGATGTGCCCTTCAGTTTCAGCCACCATCCTCTCCTCTCTCATGAGGACTATTGCAATCCATGGTCATAGTGGCTTTCTCAGTACCATTCCTGCACCACCACCCCTCACCCCCTACCCCCAGGAGCGCAACTGTCTTTGAAAGTGCACCTATCACTGTGTTCATAAAATAGAGGATGCACACTGGATTTCTGCACAACAGTAAGGAACAAAAAAAAACTATGTACTCGTACACTGCAATATAGATAGACCTTGAAAACATACTGTTAGGTTAAAAAAAAGTTTATCGAGGGCCGGCCGAGTGGCACGATGGTTAAGAACTGGCTTGGGACACCAGAGGGCCCCGGTTCGGATCCCACATATGAGGGCCAGTGACACTGCCCTCTACACCGAAGATGCTGAACAACAGCTCAATCTGAAGCTAGGGCTGCTGTGAGTCGCCGGCGACAGCGTAAGCTGCAGCCCCTATGGCAGTGGGTTGCAGTGGGTTGCCATGGGCTACTGTGTGCAGCCAGAAGCCAGCGTGAGCGGCCAGCAGCCAGCGTGAGTGGCCAGCAGCCGCAGTGAGCGGCCGTCCAGAAGCCGGCGACGGATCTGCCTTGCCCAGGAAGAGCGCAATAATGGTGCCAAATTGGGACAGTGAAGCAACGTCCTCCACAACTAGACTGAAGAACAAAAATAACGACAGCGACTTGTCTGTTCCCCTTCTCCCAATTCCCCACCACTGTTCCCATCCCCCCAATTCCCCAATAAAAATCTTTAAAAAAAAAAAAAGTTTATCGAAATTAAAAGCACACACTAGAGATGGCTATATCTGAATAGTAAGTCTTGGAGTAATTTTATTTAATTTTACTTTGTATTTTTCCAAGTTGCTTAAATTTTAAAATAATAAACATATAGCATTTTACGCAAATATTAGTGTTTTGAAAAATCTACATGTGCACATAAAACATGACATACTGTATATTTTGCCGTGTATAATGTGCACTTTTTTGCCCAAATTTGTGAGGGAAAAATAAGGGTGCACATTATACATGGGTAGTACTAATTCTGTATCTATATAAATATTTTTAATTCTTTATGCTTATGAGTTAAAAGTATAAATAACTCTAGAAATCAATAATGATACCCGTATGCAAAATAATACCCTGGAATACAATAATCGGTTTTGTTGAATTTACGATGAAGAGTTCTTGGCCTTCTATGATGTATAAATATCGTAAATTTGTTACGAGTACATAAAATTTCTTGTACCTTGTATCTGTTCTTGTGTTTTGTAATTATTTGTTACATAAAATTTCTTGTGCCATACTGTTTAAAAAATGCTAAAATTCCTTTCTAATACAAAAAACAAGTACAATAAAACCTTGGATTGCAAGTAACGTGGTTTGCGAGTGTTCCACAAGATGAGCAAACATTTCTAATACATTTTAACATGGTAAACATGCGATGTCTTTCAATACAAGTAGTTTGTTTCTGGAACGAATTATGCTCACAAACCAAGGTATTACTGTACCTAAATGTAAACAAATAAAATTTTGAATTAAAAAATTAAAACGAGAGCTGGCCAAGTGGCTCAGTTAGTTAAGAGCGCAAGCTCTGAGCAATAGGGTCGCCGGTTCAACTCCCACATGGGCCAGTGAGCTGTGCTGGAGCTGAGCTGCCAACAGGTGGCAGGATGGCTCAGCTGGTGAGAGCACCTGCTCCTAACAACAAGGTTGCAGGTTCGATTCCCCCCACAGCCCCCCGCCCACAACTAAGATTGAACACGGCACCTTGAGCTGAGCGGCAGCCAGGTGGCGACTGGACTTGGAGCTGAGCTAGCTGCGCTCTCCACAACTAAAACTGAAGGACAACAACTTGGCTGTTCTCCTTCCCCAATTCCCCAAATAAAAATCTTAAAAAATAAATAAAATGAAAGATTTTTTCCCCTGAAAGTTTGGGCCAAAAACGTGGGTGCACATTACATATGGGAGCACATTATATACGTCAAAATACAGTATATGACAAAGGCACATGTGTATTTAAAGGTACACATCAAACACATTAGATAAGGTGCCTATAGGAGAAGGGAGTGGGGAGGAGTACTCAGGGATAGGGAGGGGAAATTAAACAGGAAAGCCTTTTCACTCTCATTGACCAGTGAGGAAACTGTACAATGGTCTCGGGTACAACTTAAAAAAAATCCCTCCCCTCACATCTGATCATGATACTCTGTTGTTTGAAACTTTTCAGTTCTCACTCTTTCCCCTTAGAATAAAATCCAAAGCTGTTCATGTAGCCAGTAAGGCTCTTTTTGCCTGAGCCATATCCACAGGGACTTTCTTTCACTTCCTTCAACAGGCCACCATCTTCCTGCTCCAGATCCTTCGCATGTGCTGTTCTCTGGTGTGAAATGCTTTCTACCCTGTCTTTGCTTGGTGATCAACTCACCCCACAGGTCTCAGTTAGTCACTTCCTCAAGGAAGCCTTCTTTGACCCCCAGTCTAAATCAGATTCCCTGGGTTATAGTCATTCCCCACATCCCATACTTTTCCTTCAAAGCCATGATCCTTGTAATAATTATGCAGTCATGGATGTGATTATTACTGTTGTATCAATTTCCTCCAATAGACTGTAAGCTCCAGGAGGGAAAGGTCCTGACCTTTTTGTTCTCTCCTATATCGCCACCAGCTACTTAGCCCAGCACCTGCCACATAGTAGGTGCTCACAAATATTTGTTGGATAAATAAATGAACAACCTCATCATTGTTACTTCTAGTCCAGCCACCCACTCTCCTGGCCTCACCCTGGATCTTGTTATTACGCAGAACTCCATCCCTGGAATATTTATCCATTGAGGGTTTACTGAACACCTACTAAGTGCCAGGCATTGTGATAGGCGCCAGAGGCTCCAAAATCAACAGGACACAGTTTATCAGATAAATCGTAAAAGCTTCAGAATCCCACTCTCTGACTAGTTTTTCAGGTTCCAGCTTACTCCCTAACCCTTACTGTACTTGGTCTTCAACTACATCGAGCACTCCAGACTGTCCAATTTCTCCAAGCCTGCCATCAGCTCCTAGTTTCCCTTCTCTTTCCCCATCCAACCTAGAATCACTTCATTGCTTGCTATCCTCTTGCCTCCGTGCCCTTTGATGGCATCCACAGCGCAACAACCCACTCTCAGACCTGTCAAACCATTCACCTGCTCAGCCTGCACCCAGACTGCCAAGTGTTGCTCAAGAAAATAAAAAAGCCCTACATGTCATTGATGCCACAGATTTAAGGTTTTTTAGCAAGATGGACCCAGGAGAATCAAAAGTGTAATAATACGCCTTGATCAAGTTTAGTGTTGATCTCACGAAGAAAAGGAAATCTACAGAGGGTGCCAAAAAAATGTATACAGATTTTAAGAAAGGAAAAAGCTGTATAAAAATGTTAATAATATATACAGATAACAAAAGACGAATACATGTCATGTGTATACATTTTTTGGCACCCTCAGTATTAAAATAAATGACTACATAAACATGAAAAAAAGAACAATTAGGTGATCATCTCAGTACATTCTGGAAAAATATGTGAAAAAAATCCCATACCTGTTCTTCCTTTCCTGATCATTAAAAAAAGAAAAAAAAATCCCAATAAGCTAAGAGTGAAGGAAACTTTCTTAATTTACTTTGAAAAAGCTATCCAGAGTCTGCAGCAAGGTTCACACTCAATGACAAAATATTATAAAAACATGCCTACGAAAGTCAGGAAATAGGTAAGGATATCTATTGTTATCATTACCTAAATTCATGTCCTTTCCAATGCAATAAGAAATGAAAGAGGAATAAAAGGTATCAGCGTTGGAAAAGAAGCTATGTGTCTCTCACTATCTATAGTTTGTATGATTTTGTACTTAGAAAACCTAGGCGAATCCACTGCAAAACTATTCCTGACCTAATAGCTCTTCTGAGGACCTACCTGGCAGTTCCTTCCCATCAGGGAAGGGTGACCTCAGCAGGACAAAAAACACTGCCCTGCTTGTGCTGTGCTGCAGGCCCACACAGTCAGTCTGGCTTCTCTCATAATGTAGATGAGGGGATGGTCTGTGCCCACAAATGCATTTCCTTGCTTGTTTTTCTGATTGCCTAAAACACCTCTTCTCAGAGCCCCCCAGAGCTCCTTGCTGTCCCATGTCAAAACCCAAGCTCCTTGGTGTGGCATTCAAGACTTTTCAGGGCCTGTCCCACCTCATATCTGGACCCCAGTGTTCTCATTCAGTCAGCTCGCCAATCTCCCAAATGTGCCACGCTCAGAACCTGAGCCCTCTGCAGGCTCATCTAGAGAACTGCCCTCTCTCCTCTCAGCTCCAATGCCTGCCATCCTTCCCAGGATCAATGAACAGGAGGGCCAGGGAGGCAGGGGAAGGACTCAGAAAGGGAACCCCAACACCAGGGTCCTGGGAGAGGAAGAAAAGAGGCTGAGTCTGAGCAGATGAGGGTTTTTGAAGACCAGGAAGAGGGCAGCATGATCGATCCTTACCTGATGGTGTCTTCCAGGCTCCCCTCCCCCAGGTGCCGCAGGAACATAGCCTGGAGGTCACTCCAGTATAATGTACCCTGGTGGGAGTCTGGGCTGGTCTCATAGTTGACATCCTCGCTGACCACCAGCACATCATCCCCGCATGCCTGGCAGGACCCTCGGAAGGCCACATAGCCCAGAAGGAAGGCTGGTGGGTGGCAAGATGGAGATGCCTCTTGTGCCCTCCTCTGGACCCCAGAAATCTCCCCCAGCCCAGGCAGCTCATCGTGGGGGCCAAATGACTCTCACCCCCAGTGAAGATCAGCAGGGCCATCAGGACCAGGTAGGGGATGGCCCTTCGTCCTGCTGCTGCCCAGAGTCCAAGGTTTTGCCGCCCTGGTCGAGGGCCCAGGGGCTCAGGGCCCCTCAGCTCCATGGGACAGAAGTGGGCTGGTGGCTCAGCCACCTCTTCCCCATCTTCCTCTTCCTCCTGCAGTCGCCCCTGCTGGGTACCTTCCACATGCTTGTAGATGGTCTGAGAGGGTACTGGGGACAACCTTTTCTGTGGGGGGCACGGTGGGCATGAGATTGAGGAAAGAGGTGGGGAGGACCAGGGAGGGATCTAGCAAAAATTGGGTCAGTGACTTTGGGGTGCCAAATGAGCACAAGGCAGAGGCGAGGGTCGTGAGAGGTAGGCTGGAAGGTAGAAATTGAGGTGGGAAGGGGAGGGGCCAGTCTTGGGGTTTGGGAGGAGGCCTAGGGTGTCCCCCGACCCCACTCAGTCTTACCGCTCCCTGGAGTAGACCCCAAAGCCGCTCCATGCTCGTGCCCCCTCCTGAGTCCTGCAGGCTGTCCCCCATCCCCAGTGATAAACCGTTTGTGGGAGCTGCTTGAGGGCCCCTTATCAGCCCTGGCAGGCAGCCTGAGCTCAGGCGTTCCTTGCCCCCCCCACTAAGGGTGGGGGCACAACCCTGGCCTCAGTCCAGACTTCCAGACATGGCCCCCCAGCCCAGGCTAGAGAATGAGGGACTGTACCCTCCCCTGCCAATCCCTCCACAGTCCCATTCTGCAAAACAATCAATTTTTTGACCTTGGAGCAGACTTTGGCCTTCCAGTTCCCATCAGGGGTGGGGGAGGGGGGCTGATGGCTGGGGAGGGCAGAGGTATGGATGCCCCCACCCCTTTCCTGCTTTCACTCCTCCCAGTGTTCTAGGGACCCCCCTCTCGCTCCCCATCATGAAAACCTCTGCCCCTCCTCATCTGGCTTGCAGGCCCAATGCCCAGGGCCTGTAACACATTAGTTGCCCTCCCTGTCTAGATGCCTGCCGCAGTGGGATCCTAAGCTGAATGTACCACAGTGGTGTGACCTGGGGGTTTGGTCTGGCCATGTGGATGTCTGTCTCATGAGAATCAGGCTGCAATGTGGGTCTCAGTCTCCTACTGCTGCTGGGGAGGGAAGGGCATGGGTGGGAGCACATGGTCAGGCAAGACCAGCGAGTGCTCCAGGATGGCAGTCCTGGAGTCAGCCATCTGTGGGTCACCAGGCATTGGTGGAAAGAGTCCTGGCCATGGCGTAGTCAGAGCTGGGTGACCTTGGACAAGCCATGGCCCTCTTTGGGCACCTCTGCCTGTTTGGTGACCAAAGGACTTGGACCACACGAATTTCTACCTCTTTTAGGTCTAGGAACCCCAGTAACACATCACAGTCACAAACCGATGTTTTACCCACAATTTCGGCACGGGGCACAGGTCCCCAAGCCCAACCGAGGACCCCAGGACAAGTAGCTCTGGAATAGAAGGGCTGAGGGATCCTGTGTTGGAGTCACCCCTGGGAAACCTCAGCTCTTACCCAAGTCGGAAGAGAAGTTCTGAGCTGCTGGGGTGAACCAGTGCCCCAGTCCCCGCCCCATTCCTGTCATCGCCAAGAGACCCAGCGTAGCCCCAGCTCACCTCAGCTGCGGGTCTGGAGGTGCTTGGGCACTAACTTCCTGAGGACCAAGGCCCCGCCCACCTATGTCCCACCTCCGTTCCTCCCACTCTGGCCTTCGCTTTGGCCCCTCCCCTGCCTCGGCGTCTCCTTTCCAGCAACCCCTTCCGTCCCCAACTCGGCCCCTCACTGGGGGACTCATTGCGCGGCTCTACGAGTCCTCGCTGCGTGATCCTCCTTGTGTGATCCTTCCTGAATCGCAACCCCTTTGAAACCTGAGTCATCCGTGGCTCCTGCGGCTCCGTCCCAGTCCACAGACCTTGCTTCGGTGTCCACCATGGTATCATGAATGGATGTAGGTGTGGCCCCCCCATCGCCAACTCCCAGACCTCTGCACCCACTCTCCACCGCCAAGGAGGCCAAACTTTTTTTTTCCGTAAGACATTTTTACTCCTTTCAACCCAGAAACATCACAATCTAAGAGGACGAGAGGGATGGGAAAGAGAAAGGGTAGATGGGGGCTTCGATCTGAGCTTGAAGAGGCCAGGGAGGGCGGGAGGGAACCCTCTCCTCCTTTGCGCGCCCCCTCCCCCACCGCTGCGGAGGGCCTGCGGTTGAAGAGGGGGAGACCTCAGGGGCACTTCCGCTCCACGCACTGCTTCCCGCCCTCTTCGTATTCCTGCTTGGAGATCCACATCTGCTGGAAAGTGCCCTGGGTGCAGGGAACAACACCTAGGGTCAGGGAGGCCCTGGAAGAGTGGGGGGAAGCGCCTCCCCACTTTCCACCCGTGCAGGCTCAGCCCCTGGAAACCCTCCTGGCCTTCCCCGCCCCTCAGGCCCACCACCCTCCTGCAACGGCCTCCCCAACCCCGCCCCCATTCGCCCATCAACGCCTTCATATTCGGAGGACTAGTACGCCTCCCGTCGTCATATGTCATATCGTTCAATCACAATGTTGATTCATTCATTCAACAAGTATTTATTGCGCACCTGCCTGCCCTGGGCCAGGCACTGTTCTCGAGCTGGGTGGTGGAGCTTACAGCCCCAGGCCAGCCAACCGGCACCCCGCCGCGCCCCCCCTCCCCCCACACACACACATTCCTCCTCCACCAGGAGTATCCTGTCACTCCATCAGGCCTTACAAACTTGTCAAGTCTCTCTCATTCCCAATAAAAAAATATTTCCTCCACTCTCACCATTTCTGCACCACCTAACTTGTGATGGAGTTGTCTTCCATGGAGTTGTGATGAAGTTGTCTGGCGCCCCACCCCCACCCCCTGTTGAAACTTGCCCCTTGAGGGTCTTCTGCACTGGGCATCCCAGACTGTCCCTTATCTTTGATGGTTCTTCTGTCTCTGCCTGAAAGTGCCTGTGCCCCTGTTTCTCTCCTTGGCTCACAGAACAAGGCTGTCTTTTGGACACCTCTTCCTGAGTATCCCTCAGGACCTCAAACTTAACATGTCCACTACTGAGTTCACTGTTTTCCCCAGGTCTGGCCCAAATCTTCTTCCGTGGTCTTTTTCACCTTCTACAGGAGCTCTGTCCAAAACAGTGACCACTAGCCACGTGCGGTTATTGAGCACTTGAAAAGTGGCTGGTCCAAACAGAGATATGCTCTATGTGTAAAATACACACTGGATATTGAAGACTAAGTCCAGAAAAAAGGATGTAAAATATCTTAATCATTTTTATATTGATCACACATTGAAATAATATTTTGATATATTAGATTAAATAAAATATATTATTTAAACTTAATTTCACCAGATTCTTTGGATTCTTTTGGCTACTAGAAAACTTTAAATTGCATACGTGGCTTGCATTACGTTCCTATTGGACAGATCTTCCAGAAGCTACCATCCTGAGCCTCATCTTGGACTCTCTCCCTCTTACCTCTTATATCCAGTGTCCACATTCTATCAGTCAGACCTCTGATAAGCTCCCAATTCCACCCCAATAGCCACTCTTCTGTCAAACTCCAGTCACAGTGGAGACCACTGAGCCCAAGTGAGCTTCCTAAACTCATAGGCCCTCTGATTTTAACCTTGCCTACCAATCCCCCTCTCTCCTTCTTTGCCTCTGAGTTCTTACTCAGTCTTCCCATCTCAGCTTGAATGCTCCTTACAGGCCCTTCATGACCCCTGAGCTGGGTTAGGCCCTCCCTTAAAGCAATACCCCACATTTTGTGGTGACCTCCTGTCTAATGGTCTTGGCTTCTAGACTGTCCCTGCTCATAGGCAGGGACTCTTTCTGTCCACTTCCAGCACACAGGAGGCCCACAATAACTGTATAGCTGACATGCTCCCAGCCCTGTACTAACCAGATTGTCAGCCTCCTGCCTTTCTGACCTTTGTTTCTATCTCCCTGGGGGGCCCCCCCTCTAGTGGATGTCCTCCTTGTCCTGTCATGGCCCTGCTATCCCCTCTGTTTTGATTGACACCCTCCAGATGCATTTTGCATCTCCAGCTCCCTGCTCAACATCTTGCTTCTGCCCAGCAGTAAGTCCAAACTGAACTCACCACCTACTGCCCCAGAACCAGCCTGCCTGTCTCCTTCTCTATTTGCCCTTTGCTCTCCTCCCCATCCCCACTTCTACCCACTCTATGATTCCAGGACAACAGAGTTTCCTTGCAAGGTCTCCTCTCATCCAGCTCACACCCCAATCCCCTAAGACATATTCTTCCCAAAAATGCCTGTGACCATTACCTCGCCTTGCCCCAGACCTTCAGTGTCTCCTCTCCACTGAGTACAGTGGGTGCCTCACCCTGGCACGTAGGTCACCAATCTTATCCCAACCAACCTCTCCAGCTTCCTGTCCCTCTGCTCCCTGATTTGTGCCCTAATGGAGAATTCATCCTTCTGGAAGCACTGACTGCCCTTTCTCAAAAATAAATGTTGAATGAATAAATGAGGAGGCAGGCAAGGCAGTGGGGCTGCCCCTTCCCTATAGTCAGGGCTAGGCCAGGCCCCTTCCCACTCACCAGTGAGGCCAAGATGGAACCCCCAATCCAGGGGCTGAATTTGCGCTCCATGGTACTGTTGCTGGCGATGAGTTTCAGTCTCATGCTCTGGGGGGAAAGAAGGGCTAGGGGAAGCAGACACCTGGGTTCTGAGGAAGGAGAAGGTTTGGGGTGGGGAAGACTGGGAAGCCACAGGGGGTGGGGTCTGCTCTGGTGGCCAGAACGTTAGTTGTTTGGGAAGGAGGGAGAACTTGGCCCTAAAGGGCTAAGCCAGGACTGGAAACCAGGGCCCTGGCTGGGCATGGGCTCCTACCGGTGGGGTCTTCTGGGAAAGTTCTCGATTGAGCCTGTCAGTGAAGCCCTGAAGCAGTGTGTTCCCGCCAGTGACAATGACACTGCCATACAGACCCTGAGAGGAGGGATGAGGAGTGAGCAGACAGGGAACAGCCCTTCCCTGTCTCCCCACTTTTCCTGGGCCCCTTTGCCCAGCCACAGGCTCAGGCCTCACCGGACGAATATCGATGTCACACATGCCGATGCTGGTGGTCACCACATGGCCCACACCTAACATGGTGTTCCCTGACAAGCCCTGCAGAGAAAGGTGATGTGGGCTTTGGGCCCTCTGTCTCCTCTCCTCAGACCCCTGTGACCCTTCCCAGCTTCCCCCACACCTCAGCATGGGGAGACCCCAGCCAGCCCCACCCATCCCAGTGCCGTCCAGCAGCCCAACCTTGACATTGGAGGGATCAAACAGGCCCTCAGGGATGCGGAGCCGCTCAGCACCATAGTCTGTGTTGTAGCCATTGGGCATTTCGTAATGCACTGTGGGCATTTGCGCAGCCACCCTGCCCAGGAAGCAGCAAAAGTCTGTCTAGGGTGCTTACAAAGGACAAGAGGTACCCCCTGAGCTTCTTTCCCACCCCCCAACTGTGGGCCCCACTCACTGCTCATCGTAGGGAGAGTCTGAGACCTGCAGCACAGATGCCTGGAAGTCCTGGATCACCTCCTGAGAACCCAGGGAAGTGGTGAGGGCTGGCCTCCCTCCTCAGCACCCCCAACCCCACCCCATGTACAGGGTCTTTGGCCCTTCCTCTCTACTCATAGCGGGGAACTAGGAGTTGGGGAACTAGGGGTGTTTTAGAGGACCCTCTCCAGTGCCTCACATTGCACATGTAGTTATGCCAGGACTTGGAAACCTGGGGTAGCTTCTCCTTCTTCTTCCAGTTTGGGGGGGCGCCCTCCCGTACAGGCTCCTGTGGGGGCACAACCTATCAGCACCTTTCCCCATCCCACACTTGCCCAACCCACTCTGACCACACCTGCATTCCTAGCACTTTCTGGCTCTGCAGGTAATGGGCATTGGGTTCTCTGCTCTGTTGCCCACAAAAGCTGTTTCTCCCCTTCCCTGTTAGAGGAGAGCCTGTCCCCATGTATGCCATGCATGCATTGGGTACAGCTGATCTGAAAGGCCTGAGTCAGAGAAAGCTGATGACGTGGGAAATACAGTGGAACCAGAACCTTAAGGAAACAGCCTTTACTGAGCTATGTTCCATGTTCCATTTGTGTGGGGGCGGGGGGGGGGCGGGTTCCAGGGCAGACCCTTGCATGCAGTATCTCATTTAACATTTATAGCACCCCTACGTGCTGTTATTCCACTTTACATGGTAGGAAACTGAGGCTTGGGGAGTTTCAGTCTTATGCTCTAGGTCACACAGCTCTTACATGGTAGAAGCAGACCTTGAACCTGGGCCTATTGGACCCCAAAACTCACCACACTGGCCCTCATCCTGCTACCAGCTGGCTGTGTGACCTGGGTCACATCCCTCAGCCTGTCTGAATCTCTGATGCCTTGATTGTAAATTGAGGAACTGGACCCAGGGTCCTCTGGGGGCCCTGCTGCTCCCGGCTCTGATATTTGATGGGTCAGTGGGTCATAGGGTGAGTGCCCAGGACACCCCAGAGGCCCCACCTTGGCTGCGATCATGTAAGGTGGGATGATGTCGATG